AAAAAGGCACTGTTGATTAATCAATACAGTAAAATTAAACTATTGAAACCACAATATTGGACAACATATTTAAGTGTCATAGTAAGCACAATTTTATCATATCCACAAATTCATTCATATGTTACACACACACCCATCAATGCAAAAATATTTGTTTAAGCATCACATCACTGCCATTCCTGTTCCCATAAATGTGAGCTAATTTAGAAGCAGATAATCCCTAAACAATTTCAAATATTCAGAGGTCGAGACTTTTATTTCTGCTTTTCAGTCATGAGTGTGAATTGTCATTCTCTGAAGAAAGTAATGGAGCTCCCGCAAAGCACAAATGTTTTCATACCTTGATTTGTGAGCGCACACATTGACACGCCAAGACTGCATCAAGAATTATTAATCCAGTTTTTCAGAATGAGTTATGCAATATATTCAATACATCTTAAAGTGAAAGGCAGAGCTTAAAAAGACAATCCAAGTTTTAAAAAGACAACTCGCTGACAACAACTGTGGCCTATTTATTAAAGCAAGTGATGTTATGAACAAAAAAAAAAAAATCCACTAGAATAATTCTATGCCAATAAACAATGTTTTCTGACGGCTCATCTTTATGTAGCCAAAACACAATCTACTGTCTGTACAAGAGAGGTGTCAACAGGATCAGGGAAACTGCAAGGTTTGCAGAAGTGGGGGCAGGGGGAAACACACACACACACACAACCTTAAGGGAGTAAAACACACACCAAAACCCCCCGCTGAACATGCCTAGTAGCCGCAGAATGCTTATGGCCAGTGGGGAGTGAGGGGGGCAAAGGGATGAAATATGCTAGAAAAGGGAATGGCTGATGGGTTGGCATTTAGAATAGGAACATTCTACACTGGAACATTCTGTTGCAGGTTCCACCTGTTCGGCTAAGTATCCTTTCAAACTACAGAGTAAGAAATGAAGCACTCTGTGGTGCCACTTTAAGCAGAACTTATTTACTCATGCATTAGTAAAGGGATTAGTATATTACAAAGGGTGGGGTTTTGGTTAGAGTGCTGAACTAGGACCAGGGAGACTATGGTTCAAATCCTCTCTCATCCTCCATGAACTTCAATGGGTGACTGTGAACCAGTCACATTCTCTCAGCCTAACCTACCTCACAAGGCTGTTGTAGTATTAAAAAAAGGAAGTGTGGGGAGAACTGTGTATGCCACCTCAAATCCTAGGAGGAAAGGTGGGATATATATCTCTATCATCTATCTATCTATCTATCATCTATCTATCTATATCTATATCTATATCTATAATCTATCTATCTATATCTCACCATTTTCCTCTATGCTGAAAACTAAAGCATTCAAAACATGATGAATTCAGCATACACTAGACAAATAAAATACTTCTAAGAGTCTCACTGAGAGCTGATGCAAAGGGCACACTTCTCCACAAATCCAATGTTCCTGTTTGCACATTCATCCTGTTTGCACATCACAGAAACTTCTGACAAATACCCAGTTCACATGCTACACTTCCCCGTTCTAATCTGTGTCTCGAAAAGACCAACTCTGTTCACATGGAATATGTGTGAAATAATCATACATCACACACAAAAACTACTACTATTTATTATTATTATTATTAGATGTATAAAACCCCACCTTTCATCAGATGATCTAGGGCGAGTTACATAAAGTTTTCAAAATCACTGTGTACAAAATTAAAAGATCAGCACCAATACACATAAACACAATGTATAACCTTCCTTTAGTGTTTAGTGCTGAATTACAGACCATGCATACATAATGCAAACTATATACAGTATTTATGCCATATGTACATGAAGAACAATATAGAACAGCATGCCCAAAGAGCAGGAGAGATATGAATAAGCTGCTTCGACAGAAGAAAAGCAAACACCGTATGTTAACACAAAACTAGGCTGATGATCTTGCTACGATTATTTCCAACTGAGTGGACTCTTGGCTGCAATCCTGTGCCTAGTATGACTGTTTAGCTGCCATTGAAACTCTTGATATTTAAATAGCCAAACATCCCTAAAGTTTCAAACCAGAGATGGTTCCAGATTTTTATGGAACCCTGTCCTAGGTGCTGATAGCAAAGATCCAGTGTTCAAAATTAGCCAGGTGCATTTTGCTATCAACCACTTGTGACCAAGTGAAGATGTCTGGACGTCAGGATGGCGCCTAACAACTCCACATACCTGGGGATCATTGGATCTTGGCTGTTTACACACACTAATGCCACATCCTGTTGAATTCTACGAGTTATATTTTACCTGCACAACTGGAATGAATTTCAGGAACCAAAATGCTTTTTCTGGGCGGCCTGAGCAGAAGCAGTCACCATTAAGAAAGAGAGATCGGAATAGGCCAATATATATGTGGACTGTCCCTGGATAAAATGACTTTTCAAGTTATCAAGGTTCTTAATCCTAGGCTCAAAGCTGTCATCTGAACTAGCCAGACGTTTAACTGTGAATCAATCACAGTCCAGTCCATCATTTGAAAAAAATAAGACTTCATAGAACCATCTTACTCAAAAATGGCAACTAGATATTCCATTTTGGCGCCCAGCAACTTTGGTTTAAGGAGCCATTTGGCGCCTAGCTTATAGAACCGAGTTTCCAACACTTCCAGGATCAATGTACAAACGTATTTTCCAAGCACATCAATATTAGCCACTCAAATACCCTAGCCAGTTAATTGGTAGTTCTTTCATTTTTTTATTTGTTTTTGCCAAGCTAGGAACTTGTGAAAAGGAACAGGCACGCATTCTGTAACAGTTATCCCTACATGATTTCATTTCCGCTAACATAAACACCCATTTGCAATCTTCATTCCACTCATAATGCAACCTAGAAGCGGGTACATTCCTTTTCTTCAAGCATACCTTAGCCACATTGACCGATACATTATGGAAGGCACAGAGAGACACCGATTATTGACACATACTGCGTGCGGTGAAGAGAAAAAGATGCAAGGGTTTAAAGGCAGGGTGCACTTTGAGAACTGGTCTCAAGTGGTTTTCTTCCCTTCCTCTGCTCACTGCTACGGTGGTCTACTACCCCAGTAGTATATCTATCTATATCTATCTATTTGCCATTATAATCCATCATAATATTTTCTTGTACGCGACAACAGCAGCGAGAATGTTGATAGCCAATAATTGGAAAGGAAATTATGTTCCAACCAAAGAAGAATGGTTGAATAAATTATGCGAAACTTGGAATTAGCGAAGTTGACTGATTTGAGAAGAGAAAAACCAAAAAAATATAATACAGAAACAATGGAAATGTTTAAATGATTATATATGTAGACAAAGATTAAATGTAAGGTATTGGTTGTGTTTAGAATAAATTTACAAAAGATTTAGAAAACTTATTGATTAGAATATTTGTGTGAGATTGTATGGGAAAAATACGGGATAACAGATACAATCTTTCTTAAAATGTATATAGGAAGTGCAGTGTAAGCGATGGAAGTCAATCAATGGAATTTTATTATTATTTTCATATTGAGATATTTGTAGAATAAATTTGGAAGAAATTCTTCCCACTTTTCTTCTCTTTTGTTCCTTTTTTCATATATATGTGCTTATTTGAAATAGATATGTATGTATGTATTTGCAATATTTTGCTTAAATTTCTATTATGTTAAATAAATTTAAAAATAAATAAAAGGGGGAAAAATATCTATCTATTTGCATCCATCAAACTTTTGCCTGATTGCCTTGCCTCTGGGGATGGCAGCGCTGCAGACTTCATAGACTAAAAAGCGAAGTCGGGGTTTAGTGGGGAGGCTATAAAAGCTTCTCCCAAACGCAGTGGATTCTTTAATCTGGCTGCCTAGTACAAATAATGACTACTCTAAGATGAGTCAACAGACGCAATTTTATTTGTATACTATAGGGACCCACAGCTGGATTTAATATAAGAACAACAACAGCAGCTGTGTTGATCCTAGGAAAACACAGTGGCTTTTGAAGTGAATACCTCCTCAGCCTAGGATACCTTGGGAGGCTGGGAAACCTGTCTGGAAGACCTATTCTGTGGAAAACGCAGCAACTGGAGGCACAAGGTATGTCCAGAATACAGAAACAGACAAAGGAAGTAATGAATCAGGTATAGGCACCTCCTGATAACAGGAAGGGTCGATATGCAGCACACCTGACAGTTTATGCTTTTCGAGGTTTTATACTTGGGGTGGATCCTTTAGTCTTTGTCTTGAACGAGCCCTCTCACAAGTACACAAGTAGGCATTTAGAACTTTTTGTAGGTATCCTTATTGTAAGCCCCCCCCCCCCCCACCGGTGGTTCTTTAGCTCCCAGGATCTGGGTGGTCAGAAAGGCACCGATATAAAGAGGGATATAAATAAATGAGGACATGAGCGATGCTATAGTGCCTTAAAAAGGGGTTGGTTATCTAATTGTGGTGATTTGCCAGCCCGTTTCAAGGGCTCAAGGTTTGCAAAGTCGCTGGAAGAGCTGAGAAGCAGAGGGCTTCCTTTAATCCAGAAGTGCCCAAAGTTGATTTCATAAAGTTTTACAGATTTCTATGGAAGATGTACTCATAATATATCACAGCTGACTGATTGTGTAGGGTCCCACTCTTTTACCTCTACCTAGAAAACTTGCTATTTCCCTCTTAAAGGGACGGGGATCCTTTTTCAGCATGAGGGCCGCATTTACTTCAGGGTAGCCTTCCGGGGGCCACATGGTAAATGCTGGGTGGAGCCAGAACAAAGGTGAGTGGTGCAACAAATGATAATTTTGCCTTTGCCCTGTAGGCTGGTTACCATTCTTCATCCAAGCAAGAAGCAAGGACCCATTCCAGGTTGGCAAAAAAACCCAGGGCTATTAAGGGGCGTGGCCTGGGGAGAATCCCAAGGGCCAGATAGAAAGGCCTGGAGGGCTGGATTTGGCCCCCAGGTCTCAGGTTCCCCACCCCTGCCCTATAGTCTAGAGCCCAAGACAATTTCTACCTTGGAAAGCAAACCTTTCCAACCGAGATAGCTCAGTTGGGTAGAGCATGAGTCTCTTAATCTCAGGGTTTTGGGTTCAAATCCCATGTTGGTTGAAAGATTCCTGCATTTCAGGGGGGGTTGGGCTAGATGATCCTTGTGGCCCCTTCCAACCCTACAATTCTAAGTAAAATAATCCTTCGAAGTCTAATGTATATTCTGTGCATTCCTTTACTTATACTTTTCAGTCACTCTGTTCTTAGCACCGGTAAGTTGCTTTAGACTCCTCTGAAATACTTCGTTCAGAAGGGTAGCCACATTAGTGTTGTTGTAGCCAAAACAACCAGGAGTCTTGCGGCATCTTAAACAAGTTATAATGAAGTACTCTACTCTTGCTTGTTTTTCGAAATACATTAGTCACCTACGTCACAAAAATGAAAGAATGCTAAGATTTACAAGCCTGGGTTATTATTATTCAATTGATTTAGTTGCCAGGAATAATCTTCGAATAATGATGCATTACATTGATGCTCTTTACAGTGGTACCTTGGTTTACAAACTTAATCCGTTCCGAAAGTACGTTCTTAAATCAAAGCGTTCTTAAACCAAGGTGTGCTTTCCCATAGCAGTGGGGGACTCAATTTACAAATGGAACACACTCAACAGGAAGCGGATCATGTTCTTCTTCCAAGGCAAAGTTCACAAACCAAAACACCTACTTCCTGGTTTGCAGCGTTCTTAATCCAAGTTGTTCATAAACTAAGCCGTTCTTAAACCAAGGTACCACTGTACTCTATATAATACCACGACGGAATTCAGAGCGCACGGAAACGCCATTTACCTTCCCGCCACAGCAGTACCTATTTATCTACTTGCACTGGCATGCTTTTGAACTGCTAGGTTGGCAGGAGCTGGGACAGAGCAACGGGAGCTCACCCCGTCGCAGGGATTCGAACCGCCAACCTTCCGATCGGCAAGCCCAAGAGGCTCAGTGGTTTAGACCACAGTGCCACCCTAGTCCCCTCTACTCACTCCTTTTAAAAGGCTCATTAGCCTCAGCTCAGAAACAGGTGACACATATGCAAGCAGTAAGAAATGGTGGGGTGGTTTTTTTACCATTGCCTTGTCAAACTACCTTTGCCATGTTAATTATAGCATGCTCTTTTCCTCTGATGATTAAAAATCTATTGCTAGAGAATAACCTATAGAAACCTATGCTCACACACATTCAACTGAAAAAAGAGTTAAATTAATACAATGCACACCATGGCCTGAATCCAAATAACTTGTCCAACCAGTTTGGTGTATCTGAAGGTGCTGTGGACAGATTTCTTGTACAGTAGTAACCCCACCATGACACAAAAGGCTTTTAAGAAAGGAACTGTTAAAGGAGTTGTGGTATCACATGGTGATCTACTGCTCAAAGGAAAGCAAGAAGAAGAAAATCTGCTGGGTGAGAACAAGCCGTTGGGGTAGGCCCAAGCAGCTCTTTGGATCCTAGTCAATGTTTCTCCTTCGCTTTCCTGTCCTTCCATTGTTCAGGAACATTTCACACACTGCACGGCAGCAAACCCAGGTCTCTTGCCAAGTAGACACTTAATATGGAACTGTACTCAATTGCGGCCAACTTCCCGGAGAAGTTCATCAATATTATACACGAGTTGGACACACCTAAGTCATATTCACATTTTACATGTCAAGTGAACACTGAATATGAGAACAATCTCTCAATCCATAAAGTATATGCCACTTATAAATTGTAACCATTTTTGCAAGATTAATTATTACCAACCAAACCCAGTATTTCTGAGGATTGAGATAAAAGCATAAAGCACAGCAAAACTGCCTAGCACATTTTGCAAATTTAATTTTCAATCCCTCTGTCTACGTCCTTCTAAAACTGTCTGGAGAATTTTCAAGGTTTTTTAATGGAATGGGCAAGAAATATTACAAATTGCCATGCCAAAACAGTATCTCTCTGAACCAAAAGGTGTTGCCCTATCCTTTGATGGAAATAATGTGTCAATAGTTTTGTTTTGTGGTTGATTTTTAAAATAAAATAATAATAATAATAATAATAATAATAATGTAATTGCCCTATGCAGATTCTTTTCTTATATACTTGAGTTGTTTTCTTTCCAACCCCAAATACTGATTTCATCAGTTACAACCATTAGGCATGTTGTAAAATATGCAGAAAATTAAAACCAGTTGAAAAGCAACAACTGGGCAGACCTCTGCACCACAAAATTCACGACAGGGGTTAGCAAACTTTTTCAGCAGGGGGCCAGTCCACTGTCCCTCAGACCTTGTGGGGGGCCGGACTATTTTTTTGGGGGGGGGGATTGAACAAATTCCCCTAACGCTAACCCTAACCCACAAATAACCCAGAGATGCATTTTAAATAAAAGGACACATTCTACTCATGTAAAAACACGCTGATTCCCGAACTGTCCGTGTACCACATTTAGAAGGTGACTGGACCAGATCTGGCCCCTGGGCCTTAGTTTGCATACCCATGAGTTAGGATAACTTAACAGGGTTGGGGAACCTCAGGGCCAGGAACAGAATGTGGCCTTTGGTCTCTCTATCTGGTTCTTGGGTCTCTTTCCAGGCTATAATCTTCTCCAGACCACAGCCCTTCCAGCCCCCACTCTGCACTCCCTCCTTGAGTGCTTTTGCCTGGCTAGAATGCTTTTTTTTTGCCTGGATGATAGACAGTGAAGAGTTTGCGTATGTGCAGAAGCTAGCTCCACCCATTTTGACATTGGCCCCACCCACCACTGATATTTGGCCCAGAATGAAATGTGACTCTCAGACCGAAAAAGCCTTACTACGCCTGTGTTAGCAGGACAATGGGAGAGGGAGAGGGAGAGAAGTAATCTCAACACAATCATTTGGCTTCTTTTCTGTCATAAATCAGGATTTTCTCTCTCTCTTACAACAAGCTTGATGCACTCACTACAAAGTGTATCAATACCAAAAAAAGAGGCATAGCGAATATTGTAACATAAGCCATCCTGATATCTAACTTGTATTAATGCAATACTTTCTCACCTGACGTGTAATCGGACTTTGTACTGAAATCAGTTATTAATAAGATAATATATATATACAATTGCCAACAGCAGTAGGCTGAAATCCCAAGTGTACTCAGGAGTAAGTTTGCAATCCATAAATAAAATGTATATTCAGATGTTTGCATGTTGAAAGCTTAAACTCACAGACTTGCATTTAACACACATTAACTGGTTCGTAAGGTATCTGAATGGCTCTAATTCTATCCAGTTCCACAGAAAGTTACTTTACAAAGGAACATTCAAATCCCATTCTAACAGATGCAAAGTCAGCTTTTTCAATGAATAACGTATTCCTTAAAGATAGGGGGGAATCCCAAGTGTCAAGTACTACCGCTGGAATGTTGCGCTGTCAACCGAGTGGCCGCAGAAAACTCACTTGAAAGAAAATATTTAGCTCAAGAACCACAGTTCTCAGCATGCAATTCCTCATTTTTGAAATAGCAACTACATTCATATGCCGGTAGATTGCCAACAGCAGACTCCATGTGCCAAGCTGCTCTTGGCCATTTCAGTTGTCTCAACTCAAGACATAACATTACACTATGGTTTGTGCTAAAATAGTTAGGAAGCTCAAACCATGGTTTCAGTTTTAAAAACCAGGCAAACTATTGTTTAGTGTTTGTTTACATTTACTTGGCACTTCCATATTTCTGATGCGGCAACCTCCTGAGATGTAACTACGGTGTACAGATTTAATAAATTACTGCAAAGCACAGATATTACAAAACATAGTTTGAAAATCCATTTCAAATCATGATTTCCAATTCTATTTTATCTATACAGGCATAGCTCCAAGAAAGCTTTGCATCTAACACTACAGCGAAACTTCCTTGATATCCATCATTGGGCATGACATCTGAATGGAGTTAATATGACTACAGTCATACCTTGGGTTACAGACGCTTCAGGTTGCGTCTTTTCAGGTTACAGACGCGCCGCTGCGGGTTGCGAACGTGCATCCCGCACAGATCACGTTCGCAACCCGAGCGTCCACGGTATCTGTAAACCAAGTATATTCTCCGTTGTCTGGTGGCAAACTTATATTTTGGATACAAACACACTACGACTGGCCACGTATTTGATGGTGGAAGAGTTATAACACAGCGTAACATTACTTAAAATGGATTTACTCCAATATCAACAGGTTATCCAAAGATTTATATTGGATATGTTACAAGGCAAAAATGTCTATGCACTTAGAAGAAAAACACACACACTAAAACAACCAACTAGCCCCCGTGTTTAAACAGTTATTTCCTCATCCTCAGGAGAGCGATCTACTTAAAAGAAGGCCTAAGAAGATATCATGGTTTAATAGAATGTTACTTTCAACATATCATGCTACACTTATACAATTTGCAGTGAACAACAACAACAACATTTCTTAACAAAGGGGAAGGAAAATTGAAAACTTGCTCTGTCTTGCTTTCAATTTTTAGACTGGGGAACTCCAGATTTTTAAAACTTCTATTTATTACTAGCAAGGAATGCCAACTGATTAAAGACTCTCAAATCGATTTGCTGTCAAGCTTTTCAACCAATTAAATCTAAGTCAATCACTGACATTTTGTAATGTACAGAAAGGACTCTGAAGTTCTTGGAAAAGTACATTTTCCTTAAGTACAAGGCAGAATAAATTGCAATAAATAAAAGATACTATTCCACATTAAAATGACAGCATCCATAATATTCCCCAGATGTAGTAGGATGCCAAACAGCTTCTGAAATGAACATCTTCAAGATTCATCTATTCCAATCAAAGATCAAGATACAGTGGTACCTCGGGTTAAGTACTTAATTCGTGCCGGAGGTCCGTTCTTAACCTGAAACTGTTCTTAACCTGAGGTACCACTTTAGCTAATGGGGCCTCCTCCTCCTGCTGCGCCGCCATAGCACGATTCCTGTTCTCATCCTGAAGAAAAGTTTTTAACCCAAGGTACTATTTCTGGGTTAGCAGAGTCTGTAACCTGAAGCGTCTGTAACCCAAGGTACCACTGTATATTGGCACAGAGTTCACCCTCACGTCTATCAACTGCTTTTGGTTCTTATTTTTAGAAGGAGAGAAAGTGTTCCATGAAAACTTTGCTAGCTATCGATAAATCTTATGGGAAAAGTTATCCTTCAAGGAGTTCTATCAGTTTTGGCTCATTGAAAAGGAAAATGGCACATCTATATAAGCCCAGCCATTGACATGCCCTTCAACTGCCCCATCTGACTTTTGTTGTCAACATCACGGGTTAGTTGAGGGGCAAATTTTAATCAGCCACTGATACTCAAATTGAATAATCACACTGATTAAAATCGATTAAAGCTTGCAGTCCTAATTACACATAACCCACTATGGGTACTCCCAATCCCGACGCGAAATAACCTTGGAGAGAATGTGCACCCTTAAAAAGAAGAAGAAGAACATCAGATTCATGTTTCTGCCTGGTAAGGGACATGGACAACTGTATACAAATGGTCAAGTACACTGGCTGGCAGTGCAAACTAGGGCAGACAACAAGGAAAAGAAATAGGTCAGGAAAAAAATCCACATGTACACACTGTCCTCTGCCACAGATCCCTCTGCTTTAAGCTGTAGTTCAGTTATAGAATTCCTGTTTTGCACACAGAAAGTCCAGGTACAACCCTCAGCATCTTCAGTTTCAAGTAACTCAGATACCTGGTAGGTCTGTAAAAGGCCTTTGACTGATAGGCCAAAGAGTCACTAGCAATCAGTGTGGACAATACAGTCGTACCTTGGAAGTTGAACGGAATCCGTTCTGGAAGTCCGTTTGACGTCCAAAACGTTCAGAAACCAAAGCGCTGCTTCGGATTGGCTGCAGAAAGCTCCTGCAGCCAATCAGAAGCCGCGGAAGCCCCGTCTGACGTTCGGCTTCAAAAAATAGTTCGCAAATTGGAACTGTCACTTCCGGGTTTGCAGCGTTCAGGAGCCAAAACATTCAAGAACTAAGCCATTCGAAGATCCAAGGTACGACTGTATTGGTTTGCTTCTAGTCTCCATAAAAACCTTTTTTAGGTGCCTTCAGATCCTCACCTCATTTTTGGGTTAGCCAATAATCACTCTCTCTATTTTTATATCAATCTTTCTTACTGTGGATTGGTCTGATGATGGGTTGGGAGAGGAATTTAGAACTTTTTAACATTCCAGAATAAACCAAACTTCATGCAAAGTATTTTGTGTTTGTTCAGTTTTGTTGTAAATATTTTACAGTACAGCTTTCAATTTTAAAAAGGAATTAAAAACAAACAAACCTAGAACTAAGACTCCACACGAAACATATGCCAAAAGCTCTTTCCATGATTAAGTTTCTCTGTGACCATCAAATGCAATCCCAAATTAAAAGAACCTAAAGTGATTTTAGAAGAGATTCTGCATGTCATCAGGATTCCAGAAAAACAGAAGGGCATAAACATGGGGAAGCCATTGTTCTTGCATCTCCTTGTTGCCTGAACTGGGATGTTCACAGCTGATACAAGGGAGCATAATGAGACATAAGGGAAGAGATAGCCTCCAAGGTCATGCAAAGATCATGTCACACAAGATGCAGAGGCAAATCCAGGTCTCCCACTGAATATGCCAGCAATTACAGTCCACCTTGAGACATGTACCTGTATGACATACATGTTGGTGCACATGCATTTCTGAGGACCTATCTATGTCATTAAATGCCTCCTATTTTTAGGTATACATCAAAACATGTAATGTGTGAAACGGTCCTTTTGGACTTCAGTGCTGTGAAATGAATTTCACTGTGCCCAGGGGTAACTGTCAAGGCATAAGGGAAGCTCCGTTTAAGCATCACGAGAATGCAACACTGTGGAATAGCATTATGGTTGCAAAGGCAAGAGCGAGAGATGATGCCACTCTGACAACACACAAGGTATAAGCAAGGCAGCTGCACAAAGTGCTCTTCGGATACTACTGCTAAACACCATGAAACCACAAAGGCAAAACCCTTGTCAATGCTGTGAATCCTTAGCATCCCAGAGACGCAGGTCTTGTCAACCATCATTATCTCAAGTCTTATCCCTGTCCCCTATGTGGACAGTCAACAAGAACCAAAACAAGCAGAGGCCAGTTCAGATGGAAATAAATTAAACTGTGTATCTGTATATAATTCCTTTATGACAGCAATAAGATTATCTGGAAAGGGGAAGACTAACTGAAGGAACCACAAATGTGGTTGCTTAGTAACAAAGCACACATTCCCTCTTCCAGTCTCATCCAGAAATAATATATTACAAGTATTTTTATACTACTCCTCAATTAATTTCCCAGGGCAGTTTACAAAAAGAAGAAAAGAATTAAACTGTAAGCAACAAATGGTAAAAGCAGTGTTAAAGACAGTGGGACTGAAATTGTCTTACAACCATGGAAGATAAAAAAAAAAAAAGGTCTCTGCCTGGTGCTGAAAGTGCAATTAGGCACCAGGTGGGTCTCTCTGGGAAGTGCTCCACAATTGGGGTGCCAACACAAAGAAGGCCCTTTCTCTCATCAGCCCCTGACTCAGCTTAGGTGGCAGAGACACCTGAAGGAGTCATTTCACAATGCAGATCTTAATTTACAGAAAAGTACATAGGGAGAGGGTACAGAAAGTACCCAAGGGCAGTGATGTATCCTTAGCACCTCCCATGTGGTTCCATCTAAAGTAGTTCACATGCTGGCATGAAGTCAGCTATGAGGCTGCAAAAGCAGAACCCAGTCAGCCCGTGTGCAAACAGGAGTGGGAAGATTGAAAAGAAGGGGATTCCTTGGCCACTGGGTCATCTGGATGCAAGCAAGTGGGTTGAGGACAATCAGATTTCCAGAACTGCATAATGCACATTTGCTGGAAGGCAACCTATAGGGATCTGAGCTAGAGCCACATAAGGGCTCTGGAAGTAAGATGAGATATAAATGCATTGATCAGTTAATTTAAATGATAGCTATGCTTCTACCACTTCTCTAGAAGATTCACAACTAAAAGCTCCCAAGAGCTTTATACAGTACTATTCCAAATGGTACAGAAGTCCTCCCCCCCTACAACAAATGCAGCAGACTCAATGTGCACCTGTGGCTTGTGTAGGGTGCCTCTCAGCATGTGAACAGTTCCTTTGCAATGGAGAACAATGCCCCCCCCCCCGGCTGATGGCACAGTGCTCCTGGGCATGTTCTATTTGGGAAGAGATTACTTCTGCGCCTGTCTAATATTGATCCTGCATCTCACCCTCAGGGTGGTTGTGGCCCAACAGATGGTTCATTGCATTAGAAGTGATCTAGGCATGACAGGCGACCCATTCAACTGAAGGAAGAGAAAATCTGCAGCTCTGCTCTGTGCTGGCTATTGATATGCATGGTCTCCCACATACCATGTAGCCTTATGGAATGTAGCTGCAAATTACTATCAGCCATTGCATGCTCCTTATGGACTGTAGCTGCAAATTACTACCAGCCATTGCATGCTCCTTATGGAATGTAGCTGCAAATTACTACCAGCCATTGCATGCTCCGTTTACTAAGAGGCTGCACATGTATTTGCATTCACCGTTCATGCATGTAAAAATGCAGCCAATACCTTCCAAAATTCTGTTGTCTGTTTCATTCTCTTTCCTATACTTCAAATTCCTCTGCAGTGAGATGCATGTAGTTTATCAAAAGCCCAGTAGAGTTAAGACTATGTAGTTTAGCTAGGAGGGGGAAACTCTTCCAAATGATCTATAGAGCAGGGGTTGCCCGCTCCAAGATGAGGTGAAGCAGGGTGTCTCCTGACCTTCAAGGAATGGGAAGCAAGTGCCTTTTATCCCTTGCCACTGCTGCCAGAACACATCATGATTTAGGAGCCCACAAGGGCTTTCTTGACTTCATGGAATATTTGACCAACGACCAGCATCTCAACCTTTGGCCACAGTGTGAAAAAGTCCCCAAACAAATTTTGTACTGCCTCCCATAGCCTCAAGCACGGTTCTTTTCAATGCTGAGTCAATTCGCACATTCAGCTGTGAGTCATCAGGTGTTGAGCAATCAAGTGATAAGAAAGCAGCTGATGTAAACATATCTGTGAAGCAGCCCAAATAGACCATACCATGTCTTATTTTGGTTGCACCTGAAACTATGTGATCAAGGCTAAAGAAAAAAGAGGGCCACTGCCATGGGTCCAAATAGGTCATGTAACTCCTGATCTTGGAGCTTCACTTCTTATTAATTTAGAATGATTGGGTCATGGAGAGTGGGGTGGCATGTCACATATTCTTTAGCATTTTCTCCTTTGTTGACTCAGTTGAGATCTGGGGTATCAGCTGCAACTTAGATCCAGGTTTTCAGCCAGGGGTGTGTGTGTGTGTGTGTGTGTGTGTATACAGCCTGTTGTGCGCACACACACACACACACACACACACAGTGAGCTTAAGTCCAGAGGGCCTTCTTGGTAGCTGGATTCTTTAGTTCCCTTCCATAACTTTCCCCTCGTCTCATCCGTTTTCAAAAACAATTCACTTAGCTTGTACTACCATATTTACACGAATCTAATGCGCACCTCAAACCTTGAAACCAAAAGGGTTTGGTTTGCCGGCACAATCACATCTAATAATGCACTCCCTGATTTTCGTGACGTTAATTTGGTCAAAAAAGTGCGCATTGCATTTGAGCAAATACGGTAGATAGTGTGCATACCTTTATGAGCTTCCATGGTAGGAAGGCAGCAGTTGCACTCTGGAGCTGTAAAGACACTGTGCATTGTTCAGCTGCGAGGTTTGATCATGGGAGCCAGAAAAGGGTGTGTTTCAGTCAATTCACAACCTAAAACACCTGGGTACCTGTCAAGAGGCTGGAAAGCCAAATGGCACCCCTTCCAACTAATTAACATGAGGCACAATCTACCAGGGGGGGAAACAACCACCCCTCCTCCAAAATGAACCGCCAGGCTCTTGCGAACCCATCCTCTCACTTCAACGGGACACACTGTATTGTGCCCAATAGCTCAGCTTTGATTCCCCACCTCCCACCCTGCTTAAAAACACCAGGTATCTTCCAACTGAGGCAAATACCACACCTTGGTGACCAAGGCCTCTTTTGAATGGCACCCCCTACCTTAGCTGCGCACCCCTCCCCTGCCCATATTGAGGAACCCTAATAAATGCTCCGCGATCCCCTACCCGCCCCCCGCCGCTGGGTCGAGACCCGACCTTTCGCGGAGTTAAACGGTTCCAGATGAGAAGCAAGGCTGGCTGCTCCTCCCCACGTCTGTCCGTCCCGTCCGTCCATCCCCGGCGCTCCCTCGGCTTCCTTTGTGCGCAGCCAGCTCTGCCTAGACGCACCGCCCGGCCGTCAATAGAGAAAGGCGAGCCGGAGGATTCTTATTCTTATATACAAAGGGGTAGGTGAGGCGATTTGAATCACACAAACACAAACATTTCAAAGCCCCCCCCCCAAGACGAAAGATCGCATTTGAAGCCTGGGGAGGGACTGGGATTGGGGGCGCGGGCCCACCAGAGATGCTGCAAAGCGAGAAGGGGGCGGGGAGAGCGAGAGAAGTCAGAAGAGGAGCCCTTCGCCCCAGCAACTTCCAAATCGGATCGAGGAGACAAAAGGCAACTTCGGGAAGTAGCGGCGTGCAAAACCGGAGCGGGGGCGTGTGCCATAAAGACGGGGGGGGGGAGAGAGAAAGAGACCGCAAAACACAGCACACAAACATACACACACCTCTCAGCCTGGCCCAAGCGGATTTCCAGGGCTGGCGCCTCACCCCCGCAAGAAGCGTCTCCGGCGGCGGACGAACATAAAAAGGGCTGCTTCTCCTCCTCGCCGGAGCGGCCCCCCGCGCCCGGACTCGGCAGCCGCCGCCCCCTCAGCCCCGCAAGCGCCCACGCGCCCGCCCCCTCCAAGCCCTCTCCCCCATTGTTTGCTCCGAGGTCCGCGCGCCGCCCCGGCTCACCGTGCGCGGCGCTCCTCCTGGGGCTCTCTGGCTGTGGTGGCGCAGGACGAGTCGGCTTGGGGCCGCCGAAGGGTCCGAGCCATTAAAGGCTCCGGGAGGCGGTGTGGTGGCGAGGAGGAGGAGGGGGAAGGCAAGGGGAGCAGCGGCGGCGGAGGCGAGCGGGCGACGGGAACGAGGGCGCCATGGCTCTCCAGCTTCGCTCGCCTTTTTGCGCGCGGGGAAAGGGAGGCCAAAGGGTCAGGGGACAGGAGCCCCGCCGACCCAGGAGCGGGAAGCGAGCGCTGCTGCTGCTGCTCCTAGCGCCGCCGCCGCCGCCTTCTGTTTCCCCTCCCACTCCCACTCCGGCCCCCGCCTCGGGGAGAGGCGCGGCGGCGAAGAGCCCCCTCCAGCGTCCAGTCCTGCCCCTGCTGCACAGGCGGCCCCCGCCCCGGCCGCCTTTCTTCTTCTCCTCACGCGGAATAGGCGCAGCCCGCGCGCGCAAAGCGCCCCCCAACCCACCCAAGACTCACCCTCCGAAGGCGGGAGGAGCCTTTTTCCCGCCTTCTCGCCAAGGGTCAACTCATGCAAGTCTCTCGGACGCTGCCCGAAGAGGCGCGGCGTGGCAGAAGCCACAAGCGTCCGAAGGTCTCGAGGCGGCGGCGGCGGCGCGGGGTTCAAGCCGAGCCACGAGGCTCAGTACCTGTGAGGGGTACCGCCAACTGCAATAAAATATCGGGTGGGGGGCGGCCAGGTAAGCCCCGCCCCACACAATCGATCACATGACGTGCCATACAAACACGCTATTCGAATGGAAACGCCCAGCAACTTTTTTGGGGGGGGGGTCCCATAAATATTTTATTTTGGGGGGGAGAGGAGCCAGAAAGGACGTCAGCCCCTGGGAATTGGCTCCTATAGTACCTGCCTTGCAAAAAATAAAAAAATCCAGGTTCCTTTCAAACCATTCTTGCCTCCAGGACATAGGGGCCAACTCCCTGGGGGCCACAGCACCCACAAAATTCCCCATGAAGGGGCCAGGTCCCAAAAATTTTGGTGCCAGGGCCATGCACACTATGGCACCCACAGTCACGGGGCCAAGTTGGCACTCCTTCTCCAGAGAAATCAGATTCACCACTATCCGGAGACCTGAACCATTGTCCCTTTCCCACAGTTCTCAGTTACTTACATCTTATGATGGCAACGCATAGAATCATAGAATTGGAAGGGACTCCACGGTCATCTAGTCCAACCCCCTGTAATGCAGGAATCTCAGTTAAAGCATCCATGACAGACGACCATCCAATCTCTGAATAATCATGTGACGTTTGCTGGTGCCTCCACCTATGCTCAACCTTCATATTTGTAAATAAATTACAAAATCCAGCAGCCTCCTTCCCATAGCTACTGGCCCCAAGTAACTATCATCGGCTTGCATCAGCAGTAGCACATATTGAATATGTATTAAGTAGTACATAGTGAAGAAAAAGGCATGGGTGACATGCAGGCTGTTGCAAGTACTGTAGCATCATTTTTGTGAGTCATTAGAGCCGGGGAAATGGCAAACACAACGACCATGTGCAAGGTACAAATCCAGGTCCACCAGGAATTTTTTTATGACAGTAAGAGATGTTTGACCGTGGAACGGTCTCCCTCAGGAGGTTGTGGGCTCTCCTTCTTTGGAGGTTTTTAAGCAGAGATTGGATGTAAGTAACTGAGGTACTGAGCCTCGTGGCTCGGCTTGAACCCCGCGCCGCCGCCGCCGCCTCGAGACCTTCGGACGCTTGTGGCTTCTGCCACGCCGCGTCTCTTCGGGCAGCGTCCGAGAGACTTGCATGAGTTGACCCTTGGCGAGAAGGCGGGAAAAAGGCTCCTCCCGCCTTCGGAGGGTGAGTCTTGGGTGGGTTGGGGGGCGCTTTGCGCGCGCGGGCTGCGCTTATTCCGCGGGAGGAGAAGAAGAAAGGCGGCCTGGGCGGGGGCAGCTACAGAAATGCCCACAACTCTCTCTCCTTCCCACCAGTGCTCTGATGGAGGAGATTGCCTCTGGGCAAATTAAGATGGCAGGTGATGGTTGGTATAGTGCTCTGGGAGGAGGTTTGTGATTCCTCAGCTGGAGTAGGCTTGGAACAGGTGAGGGTCACCTGCAACATCAAGCCCAGATGCTGCAATCAGCAGGCAAAGTACAAAGGGGAAGCAGAGCTAAGGTGCTGTTTTTGCTCAACTGCCCATGTTGATGGACCTTGGCTTGGCTAGGTAGGTCTGGGGTTCAGGACATTGTGTAAGCAAAGTGTGAGGGAGGGTAAAAGAAAAATGGGGAGGTGATTGCGGTTTCCAGACCTCCTGGGACCACACCCTGCCTGTTCTTAACTTACCAATTATATTATTTGTCCTTGGCTCTTGAGACACACATTTGACCATAGAGAAAAAATAAATCAAAAGTAAAAGAAACAGGCCCAGCTTCCTTCCATCCAACAGGAAGAAAAACATGGGTACCAAATTTTACACCCAGTTTCAGAAAATATGAATGCTGCCATGAAGCTGGCCATTCACTTCAGCCATATAAAGACTGCAACCCTGTGCACACTTACCTGGGAGTAAGCCCCATCAAACACAGTGGGACATATATATGGGGAGAGGGGGATATGTCTAGGATTGCCACACACATAAAGTACAAGGACAGGCTTGCAATCTGACATGGTCCCATTGTGTAAACTCAGTAACCAGCCTAGGCAAGCATAATGTAAAACTGTAAGAAAAAAATGCTTCTGCACCAGGTCAGTGGCTGGCAAGATGAATTCTGGAAGACCACAAGCAAGGCATGGAGGCAACAGACCACCCATGCTGTTGGTTGGTGTATCTAGATACGGAGATTCTATTTAGTTCACATGGGTCTTAACTACTGATAGAACTATCCTCTGTCATTGTTGGTTTTTTTGTCTATCCTCTCTTAAAGTTATCTATCCTGGTGGCCATCCATATACCTTTCTCGGGTTTTGGGTTGCACATCTCTTTGCTGATTTCTCAACAAAGGAGGAGTACGATGTTATAGGTTTCTTATCAGATTTCTATTAATGGGGCTGCCTACCAGTATGGAACTGACCCAGTCAACATCTCAGACAACAGAATGTTGATAACTGGTGATATTCAAGTAGCATTCCTCCTGGGAGGTAAGTTGGCTCAAGGAAACATAGGGTTGTAGTCAACAAAGTGGACCAATTGAAATTAAAGCCCATATCTGTATTAGCTCAATAGGTCTAATCTGAGTAAAGCTTAGTTGAATACCATCCTAGATGATGGCAGAGAAGTTTCCTCTGGTTTCCTATGGATTTCCCCTGTACAAAATCCAGAAAATGAACTATTCCTCCATGTAAGTCTGTCACTTAGTAGAAAACTGCCAACAAATTTGTTTTCTGGAGTCTTGACGCCCAGCTGCAATAAATTAACCTTTGCTATGTAATCCCAGCTGGTGAGCTGTGGCAGTGTTCACTGTGGTTGTGTGCCTCTTCCCAAACCCACCCTGTTTTTGTGTTTTCTTCCTTTGCATTCCTCTCCCCTCTTGGTTAAGCTTGTATCGGATTCATCAGCAAATCTCCAGACCTGGTATATAAGCACAGGGCTGCTCAGCCTGTTAGTCGAACTTAATCTGAACTGAAATACATTTCAGTTATCATTTACTAGTCCCATTGACTTAAATGGGAAATGAATTCAACTCAATGACCTGTATATGCAGACAGAGAAACTGCCGTTTCATGTCAGCAAAGATGGATGATGATACAGGAAAACAATCTCAACAAATGTGAATAAAATAATACCGACTACTGTGATCTTAATTTATTATCTGCATTCTGTATTAAGACACATTTAAAAAATTGCATGACATTAAAAATGCACATTTATGTTTAAAAAAATGGTTAGAAATTGTGAGCGTCTCCTCCATTCTCTTTGGTTCTGCTCTTGAGTTTTCTCATTCTACCCTGCGGTCCTCTAAAACACATGCCTCTTCCTAGGTTCTTTCAACTTCTATGTTTCCTGCATTTGTCCATCTTTCTACTCAGTCCCTCTAATACCACCGCAGCCCCAGAGTATGAAAGCTAAAGGTTCTTCTGTGACATCAGAGCAGCTTATCCAATCAGTGCTAGTGTGTCACCCCCCCACACAAATGCTTTAGCAAAACCACCTTCTCTACAAGGCTGCAACCCCCTTCCTCTCCTCACAATATATTTTGCTCCTCTAGTAATCTATGCTTTTCTTCATAAGCTTGACTGCTGAACAGCAGGACATGGTCATGCACTACTTTGAGCTTGAGCAGATAAGGACTAGATTTGCCAGGAGGGGTGTACATCCACTCAATCATCCCTTAAGCATCTGTCTGAATTGCAGAGGTTCCAAAGGAGCGGAAAAGGATGGATGGGGAGGTTAATGGTCTCATTATTTCTGCTGTTGGCTGGTAACCTATTTCTGCCCCTCATTATGTTCTCCCTACTACAACCCACAGAGTTGGGAAGTGTATCAAAATAGCTGTAATGCACATTGCAAGGATGGTTAGGAAGCTGCATGGCCAGAGCATCCTTGCAACGACATCAACGATTTAAAGAATGCGCCTCTTGCAAGTTAAAATGTACATGTTATACACACCAAGTAATTGAAAGGAACCATGGCCCATAGTCATGAGTGCTGTTAGAAGAAAATGCAGTGGATTTCAGTCTGTAAACAAGGAGGACTGATGCAAAAAAAGAGAAAAGTACTAGGCAATTCTTAAAGTGGGTAGCTGTTAGGCAGACCTGTAGCTACAGTGGGACTAGCCAGGGTTTTTCGGCCCTGGGTGAAACTTCCAGAGAGGCCCCATTGAGACTCCCAGCCTATGTGTGTGTGTGCAAATGTGTTTGGAGGGGGGTTGCCAAACTGGGTCTTTGACCCAAGTGAAATAAAGCCTAGTTTTGCCCCTGCTTTAAGGAATTCAGGAGGCCCAAGTTTCATAAAAGTGGCTGTGGAAGAGCAGTTGTGCCTCAGAGATCAGTTGCTTGCCTAGCAGAGAGCAGTATGCCTATAAAAGTCAAATTAGGTAAACGCCATTGGTCTGCTGTCTCCTGCCTCCCATTATTTGTATTATTTTATGCACTGTGACTTGTTTTTTGTTTTATAGTTTAGAAACCATTTATTGTAATTGTTAAGAGCGAATTTCTGTGCAATTATTATTTGCTGACATTAAATTTTATTGTGTACCATTATATTTGAACGGATTATTGAATATTAATTTATTTGATATAAGTTGCTTATTATAAAGTTACGTTTTTATGATGACATTTTTGTGTTGGATCAGATTGTTATAAGGTGTGCAATCTTTGCTGTTTCTTCAACTTCACTGAAACAAATGAATGGTATGTGTCCCTCTGATGCAAGGTTAAGAGGAAAGAGAAGAAATGGATAAACCCGTATCATTTTAATCTGTTTTCCTTCTCTCTAATTTTAAAAGCTCCAGCCTTCAACTGGGCTTGTGTCCCATGAGGAAATAAGAGTCCAGTATCCTCCTCCAAAGAAAGACATAACTGTAGAAAGATTAAATTTTTAACTTTCCCACTTAAGGAGACAGAGGGTTAACCCACCCACCCACACAAGAATGGAATCATAAGCATGTTTACTCACGAGTAAGTCCCCCTTCAATGGGGCTTACTCCTTCATAATAGTGTTTTGGAATTGCATTCCACACAGTACATGGAATTAATCAACGCAAGAGCTCAGAATAGTAATTAGGTTCAGGTTTGGGGTTTAATTGTTTTATATTTATTTATATATGGATAAGGTCCAGAAATGCGTTTTCCAGAGCTTTGGAATTCTGGAGTCTGAATGCTGGCTGAACCATGCTATGGAGAGCCACTGCCTACTGATGTCAGCAACACACTTTTTCAAAGTTTCCTGTACAGTTTTGCAACCTTAAAATGCCTGTGAAATTATTTTATCAGGTGAAGGACACACACAGTGCAAGCCAGTACTCTTTTTTTTTAAGGATCTGAACTCAAGACCAAAGCATCTGCTTTCTCCTTCTGTCAGCCCACGTCAGTAGCAAACCTCACTTCTCCAAAGCAGAGGCAGGATGCTCATAATGTCCTCACAGTAGAAGAGGAAGCTGTTTTTCAAAACACACACACACACAAAAAAAAAACAACCCTGAGTATTTCCAGACTGCAATTCACATTGGGAGGGAAACTTATCAAGACACCACCCGACACTTCACTAATTCAAGCCTTTGGCTGATTAATATCCTACTTCCTTTTATATGGGTCTGTGGGAAGTTGGGGGTATTGTTTTGCTGTTTTGCTTTACTTATTTGGATGTTTTCATCCTCTATTTTATGCTGTGAACCGCCCTGAAATCTTCTGATGAATGGTGGTGTAAAGGTAAAGGTAAAGGGACCCCTGACCATTAGGTCCAGTCGTGGCTGACTCTGGGGTTGCGGTGCTCATCTCGCTTTATTGGCCGAGGGAGCTGGTGTACAGCTTCCGGGTCATGTGGCCAGCATGACTAAGCCGCTTCTGGCGAACCAGAGCAGAGCATGGAAACGCTGTTTACCTTCCCGCCGGAGCGGTACCTATTTATCTACTTGCACTTTGATGTGCTTTCGAACTGCTAGGTGAGCAGGAGCAGAGAAGCTCACCACGTCACGGGGATTCGAACCGCCGACCTTCTGATCGGCAAGTCCTAGGCTCTGTGGTTTAACCCACAGCGCCACCCGCGTCCCTGAATGGCGGTATATAAATATAGTAAATAAGTGAAATAAACTTTAGATTCCACCTTCTGAAAAGTTTCCCCTTTCAGAGCCAGAGAAAGATGTTTTCGAACGTTTCCCCCAGCCAGAATTCATGGTAACTCAGTTCCGGCCCCTCTCAGGTGGGCACCACTGCCATTTTAAGAGAACAAAGGAGGCGTTCATGGTGAGTTCTGGCCCCCCTTTTTCTAGAAAAATAGCACTGGTAAGGTGATACTGCTTTCTTCCTCCTCCTCCTCTCAGCAGTGTAGTGAATTCTATTGTCAGGGATGATGTACATGTGTTTTTCCCACAAGACAGGGCCCAGCTGCTGTACTTTACCTCCAAAATGCAGTTATCTGTGCTTATAGGCAAAGGTAAAGAAACAAGGTATACTTGCTGACAAAACTGGAATGAACTAGGCCAGTTCCCATTCCTGCCAACTGCAAATTTTGATATAGCTGCACCCCATTTTCGCCCCCTTCATGCTACAGGGTGAAGACATGTTGGTAGAAATCATCTGTGGAAGAAATATTCTCAAAAAAGATAATTATTCCTTTACAAAATTCCTGTTTTCCATATCTGATCACAGTACTGCCTATGCATGCTCCTATTTAAGGTGTACCTTTCTAAAATTGCCTCCCTCTAGTGGCAAGAAAAGATACAACGGAAACGTCTTTAATTTCAACAGTTTTTAAGACTAGTACAATTTCACAAGGAATTTCACAGCTGGATATTTTTCAGGTATTGCTCATTAACCATCCATTTATCACACAGACTGTTTTGAAAACATGTGCTAGGATGGCCTATTTTTATTGATCAGAATAGCCTTTGGAAGAAAAAAAGAGCGTCAAAATCAGAAATGATTACCATTATATGGAACATACAGCATTATGAACATGGATATTTGGATCAGAGAATGCTTCAGTGAAATAGTCTCCTCACATTATTCAGTCCTTGTATATATTGGGTCAGGCTTATTTGTGTCGTGTTTTGAGCAATTCAAGGTGTTTCACTTGGTGTTCCATATAAGTCAAAATTGGGAAAAGGTGCTTCACCGTGAATTTGTATTGTAAGCCAGGGAGAGAATGCATGTACCAGAACATGGGAGTTGCATGAAAGTACAGGAACTTCAGGACCACTTTGAGAATTTTTGAAGAAACCATGTTAAGTTATAAAACACACAAAAAGCAGGACAGCACCATGACACTTCCTTGTGAACCTATAGCAGACAGATTTTCAAGACTCCAGATTATGCTCCAAGTAGACAGCATGGAATATTAAAATGCTTTGTTGTGCACCAATATTTTTGCAGTGAGATTTAAGTGCAATATTAAAGAACAGGGTTCAAATATAATATGGCAATTTCTGCAACCTTTTCCCATATAAGTTTGGGTATTCATTTTTGGTGAAAGAAAATCATAATGCTGAAGCAAGCCATAGCTATGATATTCTTGCTTCTTGTGTAGTCCCAAAATTTAAGATGACACACAGTGCTTATCACGTTGGTACTTTGTGCCATAAAGAATCAATTCATTTTCCTCTCCATAACTTAATCTTAATCTGCAGCAGCATTTGAGCAGAAGTATGGATATAAAGATTTCTGTATGGTGTAAAATACAGACTGTTAAAACAAAAAATCCACTGTTGTAGCCAAAGCTTAGCAGCACTGTCTATTCCAGAGAGGAATGAATGAGAGGTGGGTTGAACCACCCAAAGCTCAGTATTTCATGTGTTTACACAGATAGGAAATAGCTCAATTCTGGAAGTTTTAGTGACATTACAATGCAATCTGAATGGCTCCATGAAGGAGCTGACATGAAGGCAAATAGCAGATATTGCATATATATACCAAGTGGCAACAGCCTGAAGAAACTATGCAGGAGAGATGCTCAAAATGAGCAATTATTTAAAAATCTAGTCCAAAACAGAAGATGGAGGTGGAACTTGTTTCTTTTGTTAGAAATAAGCCTTTTCCTTCCTCAAAAGCACAGGGATTAAATAGAAACCTTTGTCTTTCATCATGGTACCAGATGATTAACCATGAACTAGAAAAGTCCATTCTTCAGGCCTTGACAAAAACAAGTACTGTGATTTTTTTTTAACTTAAAATATATTGTGGCATGAGTTTTTATAGGTCAGACACAAGATCTAGACACACCTTCTTGATTCTATGTTACTGTAGTCCCTTTATGTAGTGTTTCAACTTTTCAGTTGTCAAAGTCAGATTGAATTCATTTACAGTGTAATCATATGTGTGCTTACTTAGAAGTAAGTCCTAGTGGTTTTGAGTCAAGCATAGCTCTTTCCTGTTCCTTGGGACACCATAGAACAAAATCAAATACTTAAACACTGAAGATCTCATATTAAAAAGGCCCATAATGAAGCACTACGCAGAACAGTACTTAAGTCACATCCCCCCTTTCAAAAGATGTTACCAATTTCATTTTTAAATGAAGCTTTGTATGTGTGCCGATTTACAAAGACTGGGCAATTCTATTCAGCGACCATTCTGTTGCTAAAATGCACATCTCAGAAAATATGGAATCAGGTCAAAACAAGCAAACAAAAAGACATATGGAGAACATGAAAGTACCCTAAGAAGTGGATTCTTAAATCTCTACACACGGAGATACGAAGACTGAAAAAACATGATTACAGACCAAGCATTCTGAGCGCGACATGTTGTACTTGGAAAAGTAAACAATTATTTCCACTGAAGGCAAACAAGAGACCACACAGCACTGGACTTTTACACAAACTTTGATTGTATTTCAATGTCATTTATTGAAGGAGTGGATGAGATACTGTCAGACATGCCAAAGACACTTCACATTCAAGGGCTGAGAGCTCAATGGCCTTCTTCATTGAGTCGCTACACAAGCCTGTTTCAGAGAACTGAATGCGATATCGATGAAGTCTTCATGCTCGATGTTGCCGTCAGTTTATAGTCTCTTAATCTACTTGGTTTGGTGGGCAGAAGGGTGTTTTCTACCCTACAAAAATACTCACACTCCAATACATGTTAACACTAGAGGGTAAAAATGCCTGTAATCTGTTATAATGGGTGTCTACTGAATACCTGGTCTTAAAAGCTGTCTTAATTAAGTTTATGCTTAATGGAAATTCAACTTGTTTCCCTTTCACCATCATGTGGTTGGTTCATACCATTAGAAAAATACTCTTCAGTGCTACTGCAGGTTTTACAGGGAGCTCCTTCAGTGCTGATGGGTAGAAATTCATTGCAACACCATTTGAAACCGTTTCTTCCTGCTGCCACTGCTTGTAGGTTGCAGAATGGCCTACATGCACTACAGTTTTCTCTCTTAAAAACAAAACAAAGAAACCTAAACCGAAGGGTAAATGTTTATTTGGAGTTTTCTTGTGGATGATAATTAAGGCCCTTTACGCAGAGTTCAGGAGCTCCTGTATGGCTGCCTGCTGTTCTGCATTGAGCTGAGATATGCATTCTGTCCACAAACCTCCAGAAGTCTACAGAATGAAGGAAAAATAGTGGGTAAGTTAAACATGCATATTAATAGGTATCCAATAGGAGCTTTAGAAGACACCCTTGCACACAAAATCTTTCCCACTCTTATAAACCTTCTACTTCATCTTGCTAAGTGTGCTCAGGTGTGTGGAGGTAAGACAATATTAAAAAGTTTAAAATGAGTGGACTGGAACACAACAGGTAAAAAGTACTCAATACAGCTAAAATAATAAGCATTGCTAACATTCTTTTAGAGATTCACGTTCTTCTGGAACAGGAACAGAATCAGAGGCTCTCTAGAAGATGTTACTGGATTTCAGATTCCATTAATCCCAGCCAGCATGCCCAGTAATTAAGGAGCATGTGAGTTGGAATTCAACAACATCTGGAGGGCCACAGATTCCCCATCTCTGTTCTAGAGAAAGTATATGGTGATTCTTAGACACAAGACTGGGAAGACAAGGAATAAATTAACCAGGGTAAGAAGGACAAAACCACAGCAAAAACGTGGCAAGCTACTTTCCAGAACCTCCCTTTCCTTTGGTTTTTTCTGAATTGCAAGATCTGAAATTTTATTCATCTTGTTTATCTTCTCCCAGCAGAGTAGATTATGCTTTATAACTCTACTAAGACGTGTGCATTCCTTCTACTATTTGCTGCGTGTAAATTGTGTTTATATGCCACACAAATCTGAGTAAGCTCTGGGCCACTGGACAGTGGCTATCTTTCAAAATGAAATGTCTTCCAGTCAGAGATACTGCCACTTTTGAGGGAAATGTTACAATTCTGACAAGTGACAAAATCAGCCTGGTTTGCATGTCATGGTAAGCCGCCATATGGCTTACCATGACAGCTTGCCATCTGCTTAGCTCCTCTCTGAACTTTTTAGGTTAGTGCAGAACAGCAGCTAAGTCAAGGTTTGGCTTAGCATATCATCCCAGTTTACAATTGTGGTTATTATTATTATTAATTATCCACCTTTCACTCTTAGTGTCCCTTGGCAAGGTCACAACATTAAAACACAATATTCAAGAGAGTTTAAAACAACTTAGTCACAAAAATAAGGTTGGTTTTAAAATTTCACCCCTTAAATATCGAATGGCAAGGTAAAGAAGTGTGTCAATAATAATAATAATAATAATAATAATAATATACCCTGCCCATCTGACTGGGTTTCCCCAACCACTCTGGGCAGCTCCCAAGAGAATATTAAAACATGATAAAATATCAAACATTAAAAGCTTCCCTAAACAGGGCTGCCTTCAGATGTCTTCTAAAAGTCAGATAGTTGTTTATTTCTTTGACATCTGATGGGAGGGCGTTCCACAGGGAGGGTGCCACTACCAAGAAGGCCCTCTGCCTGGTTCCCTGTAACTTCGCTGAAGGCCCTTGGAGGAAACCGGCTGAAGGCCCTTGGAGCTGGACCTTAGTGTCTGGGCTGGACGATGGGGGTGGAGACATTCCTTTAGGTATACTGGGCCAAGGCTGTTTAGGGCTTTAAAGGTCAGCACCAACACTCTGAATTGTGCTTGGAAATGTAAGAGCTCTTTGTTAAGATCTCTCCTCTTAAACCATGACCTATAACTACAGGAGAAACCCTGACATACTTGCTCTACTGGAGAGGAGCAAAGCACCTGTGGTCTCCTTGAGAGCTCACACATTTGTGCTAAGCCAGGGTTTGGAGTGGCGAGATGTGAAAATGCAGACATGAAAATATTAATTTGCATTTACCTGCACTTGCCGAACTACGTTAGCCAGTCGTTTGGTGCATGGATCTCCACGCTTCATAGCTTCGTTCATTTCACCATCCGCAATTATACTGAATATTTTGGGCAGATTAGAATTGTTGGGGCCCAAAACAATGGGATGATTACTGTTGGGAATGCAAAAGAAAATTAAAATTAGCTAGCATTAACACTATAAAGGTTCCTAGGCACATAACACAACAGCTTTAATGGAGAGTATTATATTAAAATTCCAGGTTGCCATTGTTGGTGTCCTAAATATTTTCTGTTCTTTCCTCCTTTTTCTGCTCCTGTCTTATTTTCTAGCACACCCTGGAATCTCCCTAATTTGCCCTTCCTTTTTTCCTGGCAACCAGAAAGCATCTTTTCTGTGGTGGGCTCATCTGAGGTCAGGTACTCCCTAGGAGTTATTTTCTGCAGATGCTGCAACGCAGTAAATGCAGGTGGATGTTATTTTCTAAACATATTCAGGATTTTGATCTCTGGATGAAGGAAATTAACTAATATAAACTGGGTTAACTACTCTAAATTTCATCCACCTTATTAGGACTACCAAAACAGTGCAATAAATGTGCAATAAACATTTGAGGCAGGTTTGTTCCCTTTGATATCCAGCAACACATTAAACTATCACTCTACAGATGTTCCATAAGGATCTACCATGTTGTACTAATATTGATTACACTACACATGCATACAACATAAACTCAAGATAACAGATATATGTAATATGTTGTGTGTGGAATTATTAACCTGGCCTGGTAACAGGGTCCAATATGTTAATTGGCAGCTATTTGTTGCTTATTTTTTTAACAGTAACTTTATGTGAAGCCTCTCTAGGAAACTCTTTTCTGCTGTACATTTTTAAACTTTAAAAAGGTGTCAACGTTAACATACAATTATTGTGTTATCATGGGCCAAACAAAGACACGAATGGAACTTTCATCCCTTTATTTTGCAACTGTGGCACTGAGGAAGTTAATCCTTTTCCTTATGGGTACACCATGGCAGTTATTTGCCAAATAGAAAGAGAGGTGGGCAGTATAATTACTAATCTCCATAGCCTCGATTTGTTTAATTAAAAGTATGTGTGTTCACTTTTTTTTTAAAAAAGTTTGAGATAATACATGAGGGTTAAAACTGCAGACACTATATCAAGGGTTGTTTCATTTTCACATTTGAGGAGGACAGTCGTACCTTGGTTCTCAAATGGCTTAGTTGCCGAACAAATTGGCTCCCGAATGCCACAAACCCGGAAGTAAGTGTTCTGGAAGCTGAACGCCCGGCGCGGCTTCTGCTTGAGTGCAGGAAACTCCTGCAGCCAATTGGAAGCTGCGCTTTGGTTTTCGAACCGTTTTGGGAGTTGAATAGACTCCCGTAACGGATTAAGTTTGAGAACCAAGGTACCGCTGTACATGGTAACGGAAATAAAATCTAAAAATGTAATGCCTAAAAATATAAATCATGGCCAAATGTTACACTTCACGCACACACATGTAGAAATCAGTCTTAACCTTTATGGCTCAAACAGCATTTTCTTCTTACCTCTCTATTAGGTCACACAAATAATTGAAAGTATGAACAGCTTCTTCTTTGTCTTCATGCAGTGGCAGCCATGATAACCAATGAGGCAGCACTTCTTCAACATTTATACAGTCAGGCTTAAACTTCATGATCTTCCCAACTGCTGAAATGCAGTTTTCTGTTGCGTTGATATTTTCTTTGGTTTTGGCATCTGCTGATTGAATAACTCTCACCAGCAATGGAAGGGCCTCTGGTAATGCCAATATTTTTTTGGTGGGAAAAAAACACACACTGCATTATATATTTGAATTTTTTGGCAAAATTACACTTTCAAGTAGAGCTGTCAAATTGGCAGCCTACAGGCCTGAACAGAAGGTTGCACATGCAAAAGATAAAATGTGCCAGATAAATAGCATGTAAGATACCTGTGCAGAAAGGCCGATAATTGTCCCCGCCAAATTGTGCCATGACGCCAATACCATATGCAGCTGCTTGTCTAACCTCTGGGCTGTTGTCACATATTGACTGTAGCATTGGTCTCAAGAAGTATTCTGCATATTTGAATGAGGATGGGCTGCAGTGTTCTATGACATCATCAAAAATGCATAAACCCCACTGCCTGTCTGGCCATGGCCTATGTGGGCACTGTAAAGGAGAAAAAAAACCACATAAGCAGCATTCCTTCCACCTGTTTGGAGGTTGTCCCTTGTCCTCCCACCTCATTACATCTAGAACTTCTTTAGAAACCCAGATTGCCCTAGATTCCTAACCTACCAATATGGTATGCCCAGCCCTAAAGCCTTGAAGAGGTTTCATATACATAATTACATATACATATTACGGGGTCCATCACCCTACATCAGTTAGATACTTAATTGCTTCTTGAGAAAAACTAAAGTACCATCTCACTGTAAATATGCCAGCACTATTTACAAAACAAAAGCCTATCTTCACTGCTCCAAGTTACTCTTTACCCTTAATATTTTCCTATTCCTCCAATATTCCTCTTGTTGCAGTGTTTATGTCTCTGTGCAAATGCATATACCAGCATTACATTTAGTGTCAAGGGAAAAGCTGCACAGAATTATAGCCAATAAGCTACTGAAATAATTTCTTATAAATGTTGTACCTAAGCATCATTGTACAAGGAGACTTCCCTGACCCATCCTCCCATAGCTGACAATATTAATTTGAGGGTCCTCTGTGCCATTCTAAATGAGCCTTGAGGAGCTCCAGGATACTTACAATTAAGTTGACAATTTGTGGTAGTAGCTGTTCAAACCATGGTAACACCTTTGACTTGTAGCTGCTGAATATCGAGTGCAAAATATCTGACACTTTAGTCAGAATGTAGACATCACTGTCGTGCTGATAAAGGGGGGAAAAGCAATGGAATCAGTATCTACCATTTTGGATGATGTTGAATGATGGATCTTAACAGTTTTTTTTACAATTTCAGGGAGGTATGCAATGCTGTCTGCCCACTTACACAATGGGACTTCTGCAGCTCCACAGGGTCCCCCTTCCCCCAAATATCTGCTTGAAGGTTTATCTACTTGTTGGAGCAGATTAGGGGGCTGTAGGGGGAGGCGAGGAAGAAGCCCTGTTGCATGGCCACATGCCTGCTCATTGTATGTTGGCTCTCACCATCAGACTAGAACTAGCTTGGTATTTTCTTAGCAATGACATCTTATGGAAATGGCAGGGAGAAGAGAATATTCTAGGCTGAAAGGTATTATATCCCTCATTTTATCTAGGTCGGTGTTAGTTTTTTCTTCTTCTCTCCCACCCTCAACAGACCCTGTTTCTCACAGTTAGCATATTTGCTATAGCCCTTTTCCCCACTCACACAGCTACTTCCTATAGCCAGCCATCTACATTTTCCTACACTGAAGCCCAAGATGTTTGATTTCCTTGCTTCCACAAGGGGTCGCTGAGCTTCTACAAATGCTTAAACTGCAATACAGTAAGCTGCACTCCAAAGAAGAATGGTAATTGGTATAATCTTGCCAAATGGGAAGGAATATCTTGTTACACATCAGGTACAATTGTAAAAATGTGTCATCTGTATTCACCCTTCCTCCTCTCACATTAAAATAACTGCCATTTCCTAGGTCCAATTCTTTTCAATCCCAGTGCATGGCTGGGAGGCGAAGAATACATCTATTGTAACCAACAATATGCATAGTCATGAACCAGCCAGGACCTGAAATTCAGTCACTGCTTATATAGTAATACTAATACTTTAGAACTGACTGCTTTGATTCCGATACCCACTGCTAATAAGAGCAGTTAGGCTTTCAATGAGCAAATAAAAGTATTTGCATCAGTTTGTCCAAACATGAGAAGAATTTAAACTACAGCTGAATATTAATCTTGCAGAATGCTTGCCCAAAATGTGACTAAGTATCCTTTGAAATTAGCTGAATGTCCATCCAATGAACATCAGTGAAGGCTTGACCAGTGTAAAGGAAGGCTGATGGTACTTCTCCTGGTTTTTTAAGATTTGTGACTCGAACCTAGCCCTTCCAGTATAGACAGTCCCTCATCCATCAGAAGAAAATGGGGGAAAGGGGAACAGCCCTGAGAAAGAAAAGGCCAGGACAGCTCCAACCAGCAGCTTTACATTGGAAACTAATGAAATGAAGAAAAAGAAAACAGCCAAATGGATATTCACTTGGGAATTTCTTTCAGAGACCACTCTGTAAGATGGGTTAGACTCCTAGCAAAGTTGTTTATTATTTTGCATTTACACACTAGTGTGCTAACATTTTGAAATACTAAAAAACTGATCAAGACTGCATCTAACACCTGCTTTGGAAGAACTCACCTGGAAAACACTGGGTTAAGTCTGCCCCCCCCATTAGGTAAAGGTAAAGGGACCCCTGACCATTAGGTCCAGTCGTGGCCGACTCTGGCGTTGCGGCGCTCATCTTGCTTTATTGGCTGAGGGAGCCGGCATACAGCTTCCGGGTCATGTGGCCAGCATGACTAAGTCGCTTCTGGCGAACCAGAGCAGTGCACGGAAACGCCATTTACCTTCCCGCCAGAGAGGTACCTATTTATCTACTTGCACTTTGACATGCTTTCGAACTGCTAGGTTGGCAGGAGCAGGGACTGAGCAACGGGAGCTCACCCCGTCGTGGGGATTCGAACCGCCGACCTTCTGATCGGCAATCCTAGGCTCTGTGGTTTAACCCACAGCGCCACCCGCGTCCCATCCCCCCATTACATAACCCCAATCCCAGTTCAGCTAAGAAATCTGTAGAACCACCGATTGAGGCAGAACAGCACAAGCTGCCCCCTCACCCAAAAGCAGTGCCATTACTGTACCCTTTCACGACAACTCCCTGGGCCACGGAAAACAAAGACCCAACAAGTGCTTTTTGGAAGGGAATAAATGTACCTTGACAAAATCAAGGCAAGCATTATGAAGGAGAGCCCTGCAGATATTGTGCACAGACTTGGAAATAAATATCATGGTTGGACAGTGCTCTCGAAGCTACCAGCATGAGTTTGACCAAACTGCGGGAGGCAGTGGACGACAGGAGTGCCTGGCGTGCTCTGGTCCATGGGGTCACGAAGAGTCGGACACGACTAAACAACAACAACAACAGCAACAACAGGCATCTGTAATGCATGCCTTAATCCACCATGATAAAGATATCAAGGTTTCTGTCATATTAATCCACAACTGGAAAGTAATTCAATATCTGATCTGAAACAACTTGTCATGGACTTCCAGCACAACTTTATGCAGGCTTACTCAGAAGTAAACCCTACATCTTACTAAAATAGCTAGTAAGTAAATAAAATAAATAAAATAAAATAAGTAAATAAAAGCAGTAAATAAAATAAGTAAACCCTACACCTTACCCCTAAAATAGTTGCTGTTGGCAGGGCTGCAGGGGCAGTATTTGCCTGATGAGGCTATGTCATACAAACTTGGCTTCTAAGACTGCTTACAGCAATGTATAATAAAATCTAAATGTAATATTTTAATAGATACCAGATAGTTGCCACAAAGATGGGGATGCTGCGACCACTGGCAGATATCCAGCAAATTTGTGGTTGCCAGATCCAGAGTCTCATCATTGACATGCATCCCAAGGCGAGGGATAATACCCCTCTCCCTCAGTGTTACATTTCAAGATGGGGAGGCAATATACCCCGATAGCCTAACCCAATTACAGGGATATCCATCTGTTCAAAGCTAGAGAAGAGTCTTGGGCCGTTTTTGGTGCAGAGGCTTTCCAAAGTGCATCAGAAACACAGCAACTCCCCAGGAAGGCTGGACTTTATTAATTTGTGTCTCTTGAGGCAAAAACAAGCTAGGCTTCTTCCAACCTTGAAGTCACTGGAATTGTGCAGCACTTTGGAGGTGCTTTGAGTGCTTCGCCAACAGTGGGGATGATCCCCATCCCTATTCTCCAGCTCCTGAAACTGGGAAGAAGCCTGGTGCCTATCACCCTTGCCAGATGATAGTACAATACTTGCCATGACAAGTGGAATTGTGGAACCCTGGGCACCAGTTCTCCAGGACTGGGCCCCAAGGAACAGTATCAGGAAGAGATGGCCATGTTCATGTGTGCGGTTGTGTACAGTCAATTTCCTGTCATAAGATCAGTAAGCACTGGCTCCATCAAGTCAGGGCCAGTGCTACATTGTTCCCAACATGATCTGGATGTTTCTGTAGGTTCAAGGTCGTTGCTAGGCCTAGAGTCCTACTGAAAGAAACTGCCTGTGATCTACTGCCATAGAAGATGTTTGGAAGCATGCCAGAAGGATGTGATGTTCCCCAAAACAGTCTCCCAGCAATAGTTACTCCACAATCTACTTTCTTCCGGCGTGTTGTGGAGTGGCACCTGGGAGAATCTAGAAAGTTTGTCTCCTTTGCACTGCCTACCCAAGACTATTAGGTATTTACTTGATAGAAGCTTCCCAAAGAACATGAAAATTATCTGCAAATCGGGCATGAGGAAAAGCGATAGCACCATTTCATATCGTTACGTAATATGAAATGGCTTCTAAGAATATTCTATTTGTGAAGACAACCAACAGAAGACTTACTTCATCTTGCAGTGACTCTTCAACTTGCTCATCGTAATCTTCATCTTGCCTTTTCACTAATTAAAAAGCAAATTGTTAATGTATTAGCATGGCTGCTTTCAGAAATGTCCAGGCTTGCTGCAAGAAGAAAGCTGTAGAAAAGGAGTAGAGGGCAATTATTTGGTAGATCAACCCAAGGGCCGGGAGATTTGCTCTAAAAAGGATAGAAGGACCCTTGGATGATGACGTGCAGGAATAAATGACAACCTATCCCAAGACAAGTTAAGATAGTTTCATGTTTCTAGAATGAATTTTAATTGTTCTTATTCAGCTTGGAAATTCTGAATATTCAGCAGCATATTAAATATATGTTTAGGTATTAAGTATATAAACATACTAAAATAAGAAAAAAGCTGTGTCAAGCTTTACTAAAAAATATTGCTGTAGCTACTGAGATAGATACAGAATTATCATCTTGTTTAAGGAATTTAGTGCTTTCTTGGGCTGGCACTTGACAACAGTGTTAATCAATAGTATAGGCTGTGGTTCGTCATACACATTACTTATTTACCTCTTTTTTGTGAACCAGTTAGTTAAATTTAGAAGCTGTGCCTTGAGAAATATTTGGATGTCATTAAGCACCCTTAATTAAGCTTACCTTGCCTTAATTCTTGATTTTTAAAGTGCTCTTCTAGTTTTCCTTTCAATATTCCCCCAAGTTCTTCAAAGTGTTCATTGTTAAGGCAGCCATCTCCCATTACTTCAATACACTAATGAAATAAAGGTTCATCAACTTGAAAAATGATGTTCAAACATTTTCAAGTAATACTTTCCAAAACACTCTATATATAATAACATAAATAACTAATCATATTGTTTGCATCCCACCTTTCCTCCAAAGAACTCAAGCTGGTGTACTTGCTTCTCTCTACTTCATTTTATAGGCTATATTACAAAGTCTGTGTAAAATATTAATAGTATGAGCTTTAACTAAATTAAATTTCCCTTTTATTGCTTTTAGATTATGAACAAACATCGCCACAGGCACAATCTTAGAAAAGTTATTCCTTCTTGTGAAAGAATTGTCTTCTCAAAGATTACCCGCTATACTTGTGGTCTTTTTTAAGTACTTGTGTTAAAAATAAATTTTAAATCAATCAATCAATCAATCAATCAATCAATCAATCCCCAACAGGGACTTTCCATGCACTATTCTAATCACTTAAATTGCAAACTAAATAAACATCTAAATCTACCTAATTCGGATTACCAGTTTTCAATGTAAAGCTAGATAGGTTTACCGGTATATTCTTGTACAGTAAGAAAACATACAGTTGGAACTAGGAGTTTTTGTTCACTAACCATTTAAACTTTAACAACCTTTCGCTGTTGCATCAGTTTTGTAAGAAAACTAGCAAGTTTGTTTGACAATTTCAAAAGAAATTCACAAACAATATAATCTCAATCACAAGGCACCTAAAGTTGATTGCTAAATATACTCTGCTTCACAATGCTAATACTGCTCTGCCTTTGCACAAAAATTCTTAGACAGTAACTGTATTCTTGGTTTGAAAGATTGGGAATATATAAGGATCTCCAGGTTCATCTTTCCCTCTTCCTTCATCTCCGTTAGAGCCAAATAGAACTTTTTGCTTTTAGTTAGTGCTTTTACTTAGTGCTTTGCTACAAAAAGTGAATATTTCTAATTTCTTCTTGTAAGGAGGGGGAGTGTGAGCCTAAGGCTTATGGCTACTTGTACCTGCTTGTCCAAATTCAGATAAAACATGAGCACTAGGACAACATGAAAACCATTAATTTAAATTCTCTTTTATTTCTCCTTACTGAAAATATAACATTTTCTATTCAGGGAGACAGGAATTGTAGCTCATGCAAAGTAAAATATTACCTTGGCAAAAGAATGCATTATTTCTGACAGTACATCTGAGTCAGGTTCTGTCCCTATGGCCTTGATAAGGGCATCACACATAAAATGCCACATCTGGGTGAGGTACTCTGGGCCACGAACTCTTGCACATTCCAGGAGCAAAGGCATAGATTCTGCAGCTGCCACACGAACACGTTGAATTCATTAAGGTAAATGACTGCCAAACATTTTTTTGCCAGTGTCAGACAACCACCAACCATATAGTTTCCTTCTTGAGGCTATGATCAAATCCCACTTTCCCCAGTTCAGAATCCTAGGACGCGATTTTAAATTACAATTAAGCCTAGAACATTATATATCTGTTACAATTTGATTCCACTCAACGAAGTAAAAAACAAATGAAGTATAGCACATTTTTAAAAATCTGGGTAAACAATATTGATTCCTGGATTACATTTTGGACAACATGGAAGGATAAATGGTATAGTGCTTAGCAATTTTACATTTGGAAAGGAGTTTAAATATTGCCTATCCTTTCAAAATGAAGATAAATTAGAAAACACCTCCACATAATGTTCAAAACTGGTGGTGTGATCCTTCAATGTTGCCTTAGCTGAATACAGTGGTACCTCGGGTTAAGTAATTAATTTGTTCCGGAGGTCCATTCTTAACCTGAAACTGTTCTTAACCTGAAGCACCACTTTAGCTAATGAGGCCTCCTGCTGCGCTGCCAAAGCATGATTTCTGTTCTCATCCTGAAGCAAACTACTTAACCCGAGGTACAATTTCTGGGTTAGCGGATTCTGTAACCTGAAGCGGATGTAACCTAAAGCATATATAACCCGAGGTACCACTGTATAGGCCTTTGCATCATCGCAGCTAAATTAGAATCCTACACACCAGGGGCTGGATAACCTCCCCCCTGCCCTTGAGGACCACAACCCTTTTGGTGAAATTTGTTTGGGTTGCATGTCAACACTGGGCGAGGCTCAGAACCACTCCCTCCCTCCCTCTTACAAACAACCCCCTCTTCCAGGCCTAAACAATTAGGATTAAAAATCAGTTTCCACCAGCACAAGATGTTTTTGAGCCAAACTAGTATATGTGGAGAGGAATTTTTTTTGTGTGTGTGCATGTATGTTACAGTGCATGGAGAAAGGAGATTTAACTCTTCCTTTCTCAGCTGTGAAGCTCCCCTCTTAAAATCACCCCCAAGTGGCTATCAGGCTTACAAAAGTTCCTACTGGTGGCATTAATGGAAGTACTGTAGTTATTTTGGAGGCTGTGGGCTGGATGGGGAGATCCTACAGGTCACATTCAGCTTGTAAGCTGGAGATTCCCCATCCCTAAATATGGAAACCAAGGCAGAATTATGCACATTTGCCACGGAAAAGCCTTAAAGAAGAGGGGTACCATTCTAACAGCCCTTTAAGATTCTTAATATGCTGATTCTGTATGAGTTCTATCCTGCCTCAATGACAAGATCTTGCAGCTCTTCCAAATAGCTTACAGCAGTGGTTCCCAACTGTTGGTCCATAGATGCTGGAGGTGGTGGTGGTCCGTAGCACCATTCACATTACAAAACCTACCACAGAGATAGCAATTTTTTGAAGATGGGGGGGTCCATGGCTTGGCTTTTGAAAAGCAGGGGGTTCCAGTACTTAGCAAACTGGGAACCTCTGGCTTACGGGATGACATCAAAGTATTTGTGAACATTTTGCAGGTTATAATATTAAAACTTCACAAGACATTTATAGACACATTCTTGTAAAAGGATATCATCATGGAAATAGAATTTTAACAAAGGAACCATCAGTTTTACAACTTGCTCTGTGTACTCCACAAATCCTTCTTTCAGCTCTTTGGCATAGCAAACCTAAAACAAAAAAATGTAAGCAATTTAGAAAAGGAATACTGTTGTGCACTTATTAAATGACCATCAGGTATATTGAGAAACAATTAAGCAAACAGGAAAACTACACCTACAAAGATAAAGGAAAATGGGACACTCTTGTGTCGCTTGTGATAAGTTGGTGCACTTTGTCTGATTAATTCATTCATACAAGTCTTTGATTTTACAGAACAATTAAATCTTTTAACAACAATAAAATTCCACAAGTGTTATCTAGTCTGTCCATACCCTTCTTTCACTAAAGTTGGTCCCACTTTCTCTTCTCTATTCCCAAGGGCAAATGCTCCCTATCATTAATAGCGTGAAAGAGCCTACTGAGTCACCAGGCTATTCCACCCTTCTTGCTACATCCTCCTAAATTTTAATTGCCCATGAGCCAAATTCAGCTCCTGAGCTGCAGTCTACTCCAGCTTCTGGGCCTCCATACTGCTGAATACTGATTTCAGTTCAAACCGTGTGGTCAAAATAGTACCCACCAACATCTGGCATGCAGTTGCTTTTTCTTCAAGGCCTGCAGTCTTGATACCAAAACTCTGCTGGTCACCCAGATTTACAAATTCCCAGCCATCATCGTCACTCATGTTCTCCATATCTTGTGCTATCGAGAGAGAAAATGATTAGGAGAGCTGTGCCCTTCCTTACAGCTAATTTAAGAATGGAATAAGTCTCAGAACTTACTGTCAAGGAGAGCCACTTCGGGCTTAATTGATGCAGTTTTCATTAAAGGACCCATCACAACAGGGAGGTACTGTTGGAATTCCTTTCCAAGGATCTTGCACATTCTAGCCCATGCAGAAATCATATACGATATCTGAAAATTAATAGCCTTAGTTTACTTTTCTTTTCTGCAAGCATACTTTCTTAAAAGTTGCATTACTGCCTGTGCTGAGCAAAAATCAAACCCATCTTAAAAATTAAGTCGTACAGATGCTTCACATTGTTAGGAATTATTTTCTATAGGCAACAGCTGAGCAGTAATCCTTAGCATTTCAAAATTGTAGTTTTGAAGATTTCTAGGGGGAGCATTCTAAGTCCCCATACTGCTGATAGGGCTGAGGCTGAAAAAGAATAGCTTGCCCAAGGCCATCTAGTAAGTTCATGGGCAAAGGTATGATGAGAAGGGAACATTTCATCTTGGTAGCCAAAAGCCACTCTCCCATTAGATAACAAAAACTGCAATCAGCTGGAGCCACAACACTCAGCAGGAAATTAAAAAGTCAAAACTTTTGACTCCAGTCAAAAGTGGTTTCTGAATACTGCATTGATAAAGATGTAGGAAAGTACCAGAGAACTGTACTATACCAATGTTATAAACAAAGCATATTCCTTATCTGGCTTCCCCAGTGAATCCTATTTTCTGTATACGAACTGTCCCTATAGGCAAGGAATGTGACTATAGGAAAAAGTGACTCCAGAGAGCAGTGGGACAAATGCAGAAGCTACTGAAGATTGGAACTCACCAATCACCCAGTACAATGATGAATGGGGTTGGAGAAAAGTCTCAGATTTTTTTCCATCTCATCTCTACTCTATCACACAATGAGCCTTTAGCTAGTTTGGTATAAAGCTAGCATTAGTTCCACAGCTTTTCCCTTCTCTTAATACAACCAACTGGAAAAAGGCAGATTTGGGCCACTTACGTACAGTGAAATCTCGAACCAAGCTAAAACTAAAACAAGTCACATTGCCACAGAAACCTTTTAATCTACAGATCCTACTAAAAATGCATGTGGCAACAGAAATTTTGGCCAAAGTATGGATCAGCTTTCTAAACAGCCACCGCCCTGACAACAGGCAAGAGATACTCTAGTAATAAGGTGCTTTCAAAGGTAAAAGTAATGCTTTGACATACCTGAGGGTCGTCATCTTCCAGGTCATTGAAGTCAGTCTGTGTTTTCAGCAAGAGCTGCATCACATCTGATGCATCCTGCATGAACTATAAATAGGAAGAACCAAGAAATTATGTCAGGGCGGCTAAATAGTTATTTTCTAAGTAAAAAGCTTAAAACTTGTGAAAAGATACTCATGGTTTTAAACTGGTTTCAATCAAAGAATGCAAGAACACTGCAATGAAGTTATGAACATTTGAAGTGACATCAAAAGCAGTGAAACCAAGTGCATTCAGATGCTGCTTGCTGCTAACTTATATAGTTATTCAAAATTTCAGAAAAGAATTGTAGCGCCAGATGGAAACAGTTATGTAATCCAAACACCTGCACAAATGCAACAGTCGCCACACCAAAGCAACCTGAATGGATTACACTTCAAGACAATAGTTTCTTATAAGAGACCAGAAAGGATATGAAAGCACCACAGTAGTGTTGCAAATAAACATGGGTTCACCATCCATACTAAACTGGAGAGTCCAGATGAGCTACAGAAATCTGACACCACAGGGAAGAAACAGGATCTATCTAGTTGGCCTCTAAGAACCTACTTCATTTAGAATGCCAGCTTTAGATTAGTCATTTATGCTATCTTAAAAACCCTGGAGATCCCAGGAGAAAATGTGAGTTCATGAGTTATTACAGAGAGAGCCTACTACATACTGAAATACAGCAGAGAACAAGGTTCTAAGCGAAAATCATAAAATAATAGCCAAACACATAAAACAACCAAATTTATTTTCAGTTTGTGTGTTGAACCAAAGATGAACTGTTACAGAAGCTCTGCTAATGCCATCTTGGTAGTCAAGATAACTCTACAATTAATTGGTAGTTGTTGTAGAAATGAGCTCATATATGCTTATATTCACTTGCTTTGATATAAACTAATTGGCTTGCTTTGATGTTATCCTTATCGGTGGGCTTGGGGTCCTGGGCTCTAAGCCCAGAAAGGAGAACTATCTGTAATAGTTGGGTATTTGCCACCTATGCCTTCATCTGGGCAGGGGAAGCAATGGGAGGTCCTGGGCAGCATGATGGATGTTGTTTTGTTTATAAAGAATGTGGGCACTTTTGCTTAGGTGTGGACAAGTCATCTCCTAGCTGTGGACTCCATCCCATGTCTGCAAAGGCTAGGAGAACTGGCAGGCTGATTAGCTATAGGTCTGTAACTTTCTTAATAAAGAATTAGAACTGGTCATTCAGATGTCTTGGGCAGGGCTGCCTCCTAACACCAGTGTTGCTGCTGCTCACTAGGACAGAGGTGAGATTTTGGGCTGAAAAGGCACATAGAGAGAGCTGTCAGTGCATCCACGCAACCCTTACTCTGATGCGTGACAGCGATGCCAGTTTTGGGAGTGTGGCTTCACAGCACCACCTCACCATGCCAGCTGTTCCTGGCTTGAATACAATACTGTTCAGTACACAATTAAAGAGCCAGAGGATGACTTGGCCTCATGGAATCCCTCCCTCCCCACTCCTGCTGTGTGACTGAAGACGAATTTGGGAGCTTTTGCATCTTTTCAGTTAACCGTGGTTTGTTGCATCAACTATCAGCAGCTAACACCAACTATGGGCAATCTGAAACAAGACAACTTCAAACCATAATTTCTGAAGCTGGCTTTCTTAAATAACATTGTTTTAAGTGCATGCACTGGTTTACAGTACATAGGAAACTGTGGTTACATAAAAAATAGATCAAAAGCTTCAAGAACCTTCTCCTAGCTATGTGGGAGAAGAGGGGAGCATGAGAGCTTTGGGCTGACTGAGGTTTGATCATATTGCACTAAGACAGGGGTATAAAACTTTTTGGGGGCTGGAGGTCACAATACACAACTGAAAAACTGGGAGGGCGCCACTATTGAGAACGCCCTCTGCCTGGTTCCCTGTAACCACTAGCAGTAGTATCAATAGTCAGCATACATTAATAACACAAGAGCTTGCTACATCAGGTCAGTGGCCCATAGAGTACAGTATCCTGCTCTCATAATAACAAACCCGATGCCTATGGGAAGCCCAAAAGCAGTATCTGACCGCAACAGCACTCTACCCCCTTGTGATTCCCAGCTGCTGGTATTCTGGGGTATTTGCACACACAAAGCTATCTCCCATGAAAACATAGGCGCTTATTTAATTCTTATCAACTTACCTTTTCTTTACCTACTGCAAGGCCAATTAAACTGATGCATTCTATGGTTTTCCCTCTCAAGAGTCTAAGTTCCTTCTGCACAGCATTCTCAACAATGTGTTTAAGAGAAGGCATAAATAAATCATAGTATGGAACAAACTTTTCTTCTGCTGTATCAGCAACTGATGCAATGGATGTAACGACCTGTTCCAGAACCAACTTAGTGCCTTTTTCAATCAGCTGTTGGGAGTAAAAAAATTTATTATTTTTTAAAAAACTTCATGAAATCTCAAAGCAGGATTTTAGTCAAACCAATTCTGCTTTCAAATCATCCTCCAATTGATTGTCTTACCTCCTGCAATTTTAATACCATAGTGGAATGAAGATGCTTCACTAAGTTATCTAAGTAAGGAATAAGCAGTGATTTGGGACAGTCTTCAGTAAAGTTGATCAGAGCAGCGGCTGCATGAGCCTGAACTCGCTGATTGCCTTGGTCTTCCATGGTCTGCAGAAGAGCTGCAATTACCTACAACACAGATGGCTACTGTGAGTGAATTGTCTCAGAATGAATTTGGCTGATATTGAATTACATAGCTTTCTACTTGCCTTCTCATGGAATTTTTTCTGGAAGCCTGGTGCAAAGTCTGTAGCCATCTGGCCAATTGCATTGCAAGCTGCATATCTTACTCTTGGGTGCTGAAATATTTAGCTTTGATTAATAAATTCATAAAATAATCAAATGCAAACTTTGAAGAAGGCAAGTGCTTTAAACTTACAGGGTCCTGAAGAAAAAGCAAAACCAGGTTAACTATTTCATTCAGAATCCCCTCCATCTGTTGGTGACAGCCTTCGCCAATAGCTGAGAGAGCCATCAAGCCAGCATGTCTACACTTCCAGTCAGCTGCATTGAAAGATATTGAATAGAAGAAATATTGTTTAGTAAAACAATTCTTTTTCTTTTCTCCTCCTGTGATGAGGCTGCATTTTAATATTTTAATGTTTCAATATTTTAATGTTGTATTTTAATCTTGTTTTTAAGTTGTATTCATTCAACTTGTTTTTATTATTGTTTGTTAGCCACCCTGAGCCCAGCCTTGGCTGGGGAGGGCGGGGTATAAATAAAAATTATTATTATTATTATTATTAAGCATACAGAAACTAGGAATATATTTTTACACATAACATAAATCTCTTCAAGCCAATTTCAGTGGCTCTCTCTCTTATTCTAAGAAGTGAATACAACCTTCATCCTTTTTTCTCTCAAGCTGCACATTGTGGTTTGAGATCCTGGTCAGTAAACTGATATTAAGGAACCAAGGCCTGCCATATCAAAAGCCACAAGCAATGTGAATTGGGAAAGGGGAGCACATGCTTCCTCCAGTGGTTTAAAAACAGATTTTTTTCCTTTCCAGAGGTAAAGCGCTCGGCTTTTAGCAGTATTTCCCCCTCCACAGATTTCAAAGTATATTCCTGTAAACGAAGATCAGCTGTTATAGCAACTTCTGCTGGACTTTGAAAGCTGTCAATCACATGTCATAATTATGACATCAGGTAACAGATTGGTGGTCTTGCCCACAAGCTGAAAGTTCGCTCACAGGAGCTGGGAAAAGTACGGATTTGACTCGGTCTAATTCTCCACATCTGCATTATAGCAAAGGTTAGAATGCAAGGCAGGCAGATGAAATCCTACCACCCATTTATTTGTTTGGACAAATAAGGAGAATGACACATTGATACTCCTGTTCACACACTTGGGACACTCCTTGAATTGGAGGAAGGGTTTACAGTCACAGTGAAGAACAATCTTGGATTGCAGAACAGAATCAATCCTGATGAATCCGTTCCCAGAAACTTTAAATATTAGGAAAAATGAATAGCTCTCTTCTCCTACAAGCAATAACTGCACAAGAAGCTCCTACTAAAGATCACTCAGAACTGTTGCTGAAAGAACAAATTGCACCTTGCCACTGGCTTCAAAGTTACTTAAGCCTGACATTTTTCACTTGTTTTAACAGCTCAGCACCAGAAGCATTACCACTGATTAGCATGTTGTAACATCTGCCTTGAGTCCAAAATTAAATTACTTACGATTCTGAAGCATCTGCATAATATGTTCTTTTATCATAGGCAGGACAAGTTTTCCACCAAGGCCACAAGCCATTCTGTCTAACGCACTCTCACCAGCAACAGCATTGCTAAAGTAAGTTTGTAAAAAAATAAAAACCTGTAAGTCAAAATTTAGGATAATAGCCAATGCATTGCATCCAACAAAGTCATATTCAAAGCAGACCCTATGAAATCAATGGGCTTGCAATTTAGTCTTGACTGACTTTAATCTGCCAATTTCAATGCAATCTCCTCCAAGAATGACTTAACTAGTTCCAACCCAATAAATTAAGTACTCAGTTGTATTCCTTCAGATATGCTTCCTAGTATTTTTGATTTCTCAGGAAAACAATGTGTACTTTATCCATTAGATGCAAAGGTATTCAGAGGCACAGCTTTCATGACACATTTTAAAACTGAAATCTATTTGCATAGATTTTTTATTAAACCCACTTCTGTTCTTAATATAAATTCATCAAGACATTTAATATACTGAATTTTATATTTCATACTGGGAGATGGGCTATGCCCCCCCGAAATCAGCATATCAATAATAAAAGTTGACTTCTGGTTTCAAATGATGGCATAGTCAGATACTCTTCAGTTACTCCTGGAATTGTGGGCCTGATAATTACACAAACTGACCCAGTGGACTGAAAGCAGGTGATTATTTTTCAAAGAGTGATTTTCTGTGAGATCATGGCATCTAAAACTCAAGCGCATCTGCCACGAACTTGAAGACATCAGTCTCTCACAGTCTCAGGCTTCAGGGACAGTGGGAATTGCTGAAGATTCTAGAATCATAGAATTCTAGAGCTGGAGGGGACCACAAGGGTCATCTAGTTCAACCCCCTGCAATGCAGGAATCTTTTGCCCAACGTGGGGCATGGACCCACAACCCTGAGCATAAGCGTCACATGCTCTAATGACTGACCTATTCCAATAATGTCAATTCTTAAAAAGATGGCTGGACAAGAAAAGCTATAAAAGCCTATTAAAGAATCCGTTGATCAGCTTCATGATTCTGTACAGAGCACTGCAGCTAGGCTTGATCAAGCAGAATCCAGAATGTCTAAATTGGACAACAGTGCAGCTGCATATGACACATCAATGGCGGCACTACAAAAATCTACTTATGTGATGATGGCTAGAATGCTTCAACTTGAAAACCGCACACAAAAATGCAATATGGATTCTTGGCAATCTGGCCAAAAGTAAGATCAGCCCGTTAAGTTCATTGAAAATGTTTTATGAAAGATATTGGCATTACCTGAATATTATCAACTTGGTAGAGATCGGGCTCACCAGATATCAGCCCTCTCTTTACAGGTTACAGATAAACTTTGCCAATTTTTTGATATATTTTTTCCCCCCATTTTAAGTTTGAGAGTTTCCGCTGCAATGTGCCAGAAAGGGGTAACTTCAGTGAGGAATGGAACAGCATAATATTATGCTATTTTCAGATTGCACAAAAGAGACTCTAGTCAACAGAGATTTTTAATGAAGCATGGCAACAGGAAATTATTTACTTGGTAAGTTTCCCTGCTACTTTTTGCTTTTGTATAAGTGATCAACAACATTCATTTTTCATCCCAGTACAAAGCAGAGGAACAACACATCCCTGGAATAAATCAAACATCAGATGCAGAGTGAAATGTTCCAGTGCTTTAAGGCCTTCTCTTCTGCTATCGCTGCTGGACTGGAGATACTAATTTGAAGTGACTACGGCTTATCTTCATTGCAAAGGCGTACGTGGCATTAAATCGTGATGTGACTGAGGACATTCCTCCAACTTAGAACTGTGGCCTTTTTATTATGCTCTTACAGATTGTTACATATTATTGTTTGTATTCCTTTTTAAAAAATGATACTTTATTATGAAATAAAATAAATAAGAGAAAAAATTGGGTAAACAAAGAAAAGGTTCACTGCCATTATCTCAAAACAAAGTACAGTGGTGCCTCGCAAGACGAAATTAATTCGTTCCGCAAGTTTTTTCTTCTTGCGAGTTTTTCGTCTTGCGATGCACGGTTTCCCATAGGAATGCATTGAAAATCAATTAATGCGTTCCTAGGAAACCGACTTCAGACCAGGTCCGGGGACAGTCTGTCCCCGACCTCTTCTGAAGGCTGGGGGGGACAAGGGCTTTTCTTCCCACCCACCCCAGCATTTTAAAAACCCGGGACAGCGGAGGGCTTCTCCGCTGTCCGGGCGATCTTAAAATGCTGGCGGGCGGCATTTTAAAAGGGCCCCGGGACAGCGGAGGACTTCTCCGCTGTCCGGGGCAATTTAAAAGCCCCTGGGAAGGCAGGCAGGGGGGACAAAGACTTGTGCCCCCCGCCAGCCTTCAGAAGAGGTCCTGGACCTCTTCTGAAGGTTGGCGGGGGGGCGAAAGTCTTTTCCCCCCACCTGCCTTCAAAAGCTGTCCAGCCAAGGCTCGCGGACCTCTCCGCAAGCAGCGGCAGCACTGCCGCTGCTTGCGGAGAGTTGCCGGCATGCCGAAGCCTGCGCGCGCTGAGATCAGCGCGCCCAGGCTTCGCGGACCTCTCCGCGAGCAGCGGCAGCGCTGCCGCTGCTTGCGGAGAGTTGCCGGCATGCCGAAGCCTGCGCGCGCTGAGATCAGCGCGCCCAGGCTTCGCGGACCTCTCCGCGAGCAGCGGCAGCGCTGCCGCTGCTTGCGGAGAGTTGCCGGCATGCCGAAGCCTGCGCGCGCTGAGATCAGCGCGCCCAGGCTTCTGCGCGAGCAGCGGCAGCGCTGCCGCTGCTTGCGGAGAGTAGCCGGCCCGCCGAAGCCGGCGCGCGCGGAGATCAGCGCGCCCAGGCTTCGCGGACCTCTCCGCGAGCAGCGGCAGCGCTGCCGCTGCTTGCGGAGAGTTGCCGGCATGCCGAAGCCTGCGCGCGCTGAGATCAGCGCGCCCAGGCTTCGCGGACCTCTCCTGCCTTCAAAAGCCGTCCGGGATAGCGGGAAGCGCTTCCCTGCTATCCCGGACTGCTTTTAAAATGCTGGCGGTGGGGGGCAAAGCCATTCGGCCCCCCCCAGCCTTCCTGGACCGCGACTGAAGGTCGGGGGGAAGGCTTTGCTCCCCACCGCTAGCATTTAAAAGAGGTCCCTGGAGATTTCCCTATGGGCTTTCGTCTTGCGAAGCAAGCCCATAGGAAATTGCTTATGAAGCGCCTCCAAAACGGAAAACCCTTTCGTCTAGCGGGTTTTCCGTCTTGCGAGGCGTTCGTCTTGCGGGGCACCACTGTATATTCTCAAGAGACTACAGAATGAATTAGATGCTACAACAAAAACCGACCTGATACAGAAAAAATACAGAACAAATGTTATGAATACCAAATAAAGCCATATCTCCTCAGGGCTTCCATCACTCTGATTGGCCTGTCATATGAGCAGCAAATGCATAGGTTAAGCTGCACCCCGAGATACCCTTAATTTAGGAGTCAGTTTCTCAGAAATGAGAACAAGCATTACTTTATTGAACCAATATTTAAAGAAAAACCTAAGGACTCCTTCCATCAGCAGCCCTGTAATATGGTCAAACAAGCACTGACTAACAGAAAAATTGTTTGCATATTACGTCTGTAGTCAACCCTTACTTTTATCGCAGTATTGGATTCCAGTGTGTTCTATTTTTGTGTGTGAAAAATCTAAGGAGACAATGGGATGGGAGGCAGGGGCGGCGAATGAGGTATGCTGTTATCAAATATGAAAGTTGTAGTGGGGTTTTTTGTCCTCCCTTTTCTTGGTTTTTGGATATGCATTTTTCTTCTCCCCCTGCCCTCTCTTTTTTTAATTGGCCTTGCAAGTTTTTACAGATGGTGCTATGTCAACATTTACACAAATTGCCTGTTTAATCTGTTTGCTCAGCATGGATACATACTATAGATATTTACGTTATAAGGATCTTGTGGTTTCTACACTGTAATATAGATGCCTAGAAAGTATCCTCCTAGCTTATCAACAAATACACTGTCTTTGTGATTTATATGGATTTTTAGTAGTGTTACATGCCTGAGCATTCGGAGATTTTACAGTTGTTGTGTTGGGGAAGAGTAATAAGTGTTCCAAACATATTTGTGACAAATATAATACTAGTAATGAAACCATCATATGACTTTAAATTTGCACATGGAATGTGAAGGACTTAGGTTATCCTAAAAAAAAGAGAACAGGTGCCCTTTAAATTCAGAAAACTTAAAGCTTATCTTGTGGTTTAGGAGACTGTGTGCTAGTGGCCATTTTAAGAATTCTCAGGATGTGGCTAATTTTGGGATCTAATGATTAAAGAAGAAAAAGACCTATAGCATCTAAAATTATAGCAACTAAAGAGACATAATATACATTGTCTTGTCAGTTACAATTTGACCCATATGCACGTGACAAATTATGGGGTAATTCTAATTTTAAGATAGTGGCAGTCTTTTTGTGTGGAAGAAATAGGTTGACTGAGGAATTTATACAGCTGAAAGGTTCAAATGGGAGAATTTTTGTCATTTTCAATGCTTTGGTTTATATATCATTTATTGGAGAGTGCTGAACAACAATATCTTCAATTACAACACCTGTTGGTGTCTATTTATAAACCAACTGCTTTGAGTGCTTTGGCACCTCCTGAATTGTTGGAAGGAATTACTGGATCTTCTCAGAAAGTTAAATCCACAACTACTATTTATAGTTGCTTATTGGACCTTTGTAAAGTAGATGCTCAGAAACTTTGGCGTCTCAGTCTAACCTACACGACAGGGTTGTTGCTGGGATAATATGGGGAGGGGGAGAGGATATGTGCCATTTTGACCTCCTTGGAGGAAAATTGGGATATAAAATGTAATGACATAAATAGATAAACGAAACCGAAACAATGGAAACTGCTTCAGAATCTATACAGAAAGTTTCTTTAGATTTATAACAGAGGTGGATGCAGCAAAAATGTTGTTTCAGGTATATTAGATTCCACAACATTTGTAGAGGAAGGCACTGTCTAATACAGTTAGATGCTGGAGGTGCAATACTGAAAGACCTCAGTGATATATTCTTTTTAGTCTAAAGCTGAATTTCATATAAATTTTGTACTGGCAAAATCAATCTGCAGGTGGTTTTTTTTACTGTTTTTTATTGCAGGTGCTGTATTTTTAAACTATATTCTTATAGTATGCACGTTAATAGCAGGACAAGAAATGGATATTGTGAGCACTTATGGTTGTCAAGAGACATACACCTTGATCCTGGAAGGATAAATGCTTACTGCCCATTGTGCAACGGTCTGAGAACTTACAAGGCCCTTGCTGCATTTGAACGTATGTTTAATCAATGCCAATTTCATGCAGATAGCTATTTGAACATCTGGAGGGTTCATATTGAGTTATGTTTCATTTTAGAGGGAAATACCAATGGCCTTTGAATACTGACAGTATATTGTTAGTGCATTATTTTTCTGTCCTTCAAAAAATCTTTCTTTTCTTTGTTACACATGACACTTAAACAAACGTTGAGCCCTTTAATAGGAGATCAAACACAGTCCATGTCTTACTGTTTGCAAATACTGCTATAATCATAAAGTAACCAGTCCTAGGAAGTATCTTTTATTCAGTTTCCTGCTCCTATACAAATTCTAAATGGTTGAAATATCAACATAAAATTAGTTACAGTCTTTAAGTAAGCTTGAGTACACTCCAGCATGTGAACAAACTGCTTGAGTAAATATGCCATTTATTTTTTGTTTCTGGCATACACATAATTTACCAAGTAGTTGCCAAGAAAGCAAAAGATATGTTCTAAATATAGCAGAGGGCTCCTGGCACGTTGTAAACTATACTTTAATGGCTATATCAATAAATGCGAATAAATCACTTAAATAAAAAGCTGATGTACAAATCGGAAACATGAAACAAATTACTGATATGCATCAACACACCGATCTACCTTATTGTATTCTAAGATTATCCCTTTACAACTAAATTCTATGCTTCTGAAAACTCTGGTTTCAATAAAAGGAACGATTGAGAAGGACCATGCTTGCCTCTAGAAATCACATAACAAATGATTTTTATAGAAGCATCTAGTAAGAGAGACAGATTACTGTTATAAGATGTAATCAACATTGCCTTGGATTTAAGAACAGCATGTACAACTGGGGCTTTTGTTCCCACTTCCACTACGGCCCCTACAGGATATGAGATCTTCTCTACAGACAGGTAGGATCTCAGTACTTGTTCTCAGCAAAGTGTGTTTTGTAAGAAAGGATTCTCTTTTGCAAAAATCTGGGGTTTTTAAGGTGAGAAAAGTTAAGCACCATTATTTTCTTACCTGCATCAACCTAAGGGCTAATTATGTATCACATTAGCTCCCATTTGAACACCTTTGCATGAAGGCGACATTTAAAACCTGGCAGCTCAACGTGGGGATGTTGCATACACAGGTAATGGTATGCAAGCCAGCAGGTGTGGCGATCACACAGGGTCCCTGGACGTTTCACCGTCTATTGATCCCTGTGCCACCACTTTATTTCTCGCTGCCACCACCCAGGCCCTTCCTGGTACAATACTGAGTCCAGTCAGGTTTAAACTGAAACATAGACTTCTGTTTATTTATTGCAGTTTAACAAGCGTGTGGTTTCATAAACGGTATCGGTCAATTACAATCATAGGGTGCCTATCCAGACCTATAACTTCCACTACCCGCTCTTACTCACTAAACAACCTCTCAGATATTTACTTGTCTTCCTAGCTCCTAACTGTTCCTGACTCAGCTTATTTCGCTACACTAACTCAACCTACCCCCAGACTCTATCCCAATTCACTCCCACTCCAACCAACCTCCCAACGAGCTCCTCATTCGCCCCGCTCAGAGCTGGTTTTATAGTCCCTCTGACTCCACCCCCTGGGTTCTGATTGGGTAACCTGTTTAACTATTTCACCTCCAGCACTCTCATATGTTAACATCACAGTAGGTACCAAAGAAAAGCTTGCAATGAAAGGGAGCCCTTGAGAATGGCAAAGCATATGATTTTTTTTTCTTTTTTAAAAACAACTCGTTTACCTGTCAAAGTCATCGTCTTCTAACTCATCAGAATTTGCCCAGTCTTCATCTTCTTCTAGGTCAACCATCATTGTTAACATCTGAGGAACTAAGGAAATTAACATTGCTCAATCTACAGAAAAAGGTCTAACAGAGATCTGACTGCTCGTGAACAGCCACCTCACATCCCAGTAGAATTCATGAAGCAATGTGGCACTTGTCCATATTTCACTCTGCCACAACGCATACCAACAGAGTAATTTTGGATTGTGGGGCACCAGTTCCGAATTATATCTGTGCAATTGCCCCACAGGGAAGGATTATTATAGCACATGCTTTGCATGCAGAAGGCACCAAGCCAAATCCCTGGCATTTCTACCTAAAAATGGTTGCAAGGTAGGAAGTGGGCTAGATGGACCGTTGAACTGACTCAATAGAAACTAGCTTAATATATTATTAATATTATTACCGTATTTTTCGTTCTATAAGACGCACCAGACCATAAGACGCACCTAGTTTTTGGAGGAGGGAAATAAGGAAATAAATAAATCTGAATCTCAGAAGCCAGAACAACAAGAGGGATCGCTGCGCAGCGATCCCTCTTGCTGTTCTGGCTTCTGGGATAGCTGCGCAGCCTGCATTCGCTCCATAAGATGCACACACATTTCCCCTTACTTTTTAGGAGGGAAAAAGTGAGTCTTATAGAGCAAAAAATACGGTATTTAAATTTGTATACCACCCTATACCAGCAGATCTCAGGGAAATTCACAACATAAAACCACAATACTGTACAAAAATACAAAACACATAATAAAAACAAAATCAAGAACAATCTATTAAGCCGCTCTTGGGTCACAAAAAATCAGCTCACAGGCAGCACTGAGAATACCTTCTTAACAGGCATGTGGTGCCCATATTAATAAAGTTAATGAGTGTTTTATTTTTGCTTCATGCTGGCCCCATTTTAGATTCAACAGTCAGGGCTGCATACTTGACAGAGTCTTATAAAAAAGGCAAAACACCGTACTTCTGGTTGTTTGGGGAGCGGACTAGAGTAGATCAGTAGGATTTTGGCTTCTAAAAAACAGCTCTGTGCCTACTGTGTAAGACCAGGGTATGTGTCTTTTACCTAATCTACAAACCTATGCCACATTAACTGTTTTAATTCTAACTGAGAAAAAATATAATAAAAGACAATAAATTTACTTACTAGCTTGTGCAACAATATTGATATGCCTTCTAAGCATAGCAGCTGCGGTCTCAGATAATGTAACTATTACTTCAAGAGCCAGTTGACGTTGCATGTTGCTGAGATTAGTATCTGCACACAACTGAAAAAGAAAGATATTGAAGTATAGTACTAAAAATCAGGCCACCTATCTAATCAACCAAAACATGAATTGGGATGGGACAATCAACTTACCTTCAAACTTAGTTGCAATGTAGGTTCTAAGTGTGGCCGTAGATACTTTGGAACTGTATCTGCAATCTCTACAAGGGACTTCAGTACTGAATCATCATTTTGGTAACAGGAGTCATTTACCGCCTAAAAGAGAATTCAGTTAGTATCTTTTTCACCTGTAATTCACATTCAAATCCAAACACTGTGTTAGGAAGACACCATTCAGTGCTTCAAGACACTGCAACCAAAACACGGAACCAAAGACTAGAGGACATACTGGAGAGCTCAAAAGGTTGAAAAAGTATCTTGTCTCACCGAGTTATTTCAAATAATCAAATAAAACAAAGGCATGTTTTATTTGCTCACATTGCTCTTCTCCCTCTCAATCTCCTGCCTAGTGAAGATGCAATACCGCCTGATCCCTTAACTATGATTAGGAGACTAAAAGCCTACAGGGTGCTCCTTAGCTCTCTCACCTCCTGCCTCTTGTGAATAATGTTTTTATTGAGTACACCACTTCAATGGATCTATGCTGTGAAGTAGTCTACAAATTGGTGTAATAATAGCAATACTAATTTGTCTCCATTTTCAGGTGTCCCTTGGGGCTAAAGGTCTAAAGAAATCATAGCACCTTAATAAAAAGATATGCACTTCCTGTTTTTTGCTTGCAATGACTGGGATTTTTTGTGTGAAACGTAATGTATATTGTTTTTACATCTGCTGTAACTATTAAGACTAACATCCTTTACTCAGTTATCTGGATGGAACCCCAATGAATTGGACTTACTTCTGAGTAGAGATGCATAGGATAGTACTGCAGATCTATTCTATAGTCTATTTTCTTTTTTAAAACCTAGGCCAGGGTTATCTACTTCATTTTCGACTTAGCACTAGGTCATATTGCTTCAGGACCTCGGATTATTGTTTCCATCTTGCATGTTACAATGCCATAAAAGCTGACTGACATATAGGAAAACATTCCCTGACTTGGCCAAAGCAGGTACAAAATATCACCCATCAGTACCCAATAAAAGCTTGGAAGAATAACAAGGGTTTTAACAGGAGTCAAAAGAATGCCAATCATATATTTCAAAATCTTCCATTCCACACTGGTAACTTATCTTTTATATTTGCAGATACTATATTTTGCCATGAATAGGCAATGTGGGGTCTTCCAGATATTGTGGACTGATTGGGGTGAATGGCTGTTGCAATTAAAAAAAATATCTATAGGGCACCGTGTTGGCTGTCATTGCTATACATTATTATGTTTGACTGGAATTGTTAAGGGTTACATTACATATTGTGAGGTTAGCAATAAACAAGAAGATACACTGTAGATATATGTTATTTTATTTTATTTCCCCCTTGTTAAAATTCTTATCAAAATATCTCTTTAGCATGGGACCATATATTTTGTGAAGCAAAAAGGCAATATATGTTACACCAAGTCTTTCAGTTAGGACTCTCTCAATAAAAACAAAGGTCCAATTACAGTCGTACCTTGGTTGTCAAATGCCTTGGTACCCAGACATTTTGGCTCCTGAACGCCGCAGACCCAGAAGTGAGTGTTCCGGTTTGTGAACACTTTTTGGAAGCCAAACGTGCAACGTGGCTTCTGCTTGAGTGCAGGAAGCTCCTGCAGCCAATCGGAAATTGTGCCTTGGTTTTCGAACCGTTTTGGGAGTCGAATTGGCTCCCGGAACGGATTAAGTTTGACAACCAAGGTACGACTGTATAGAGATTAATTTCAACATTCAAATTTTCAGATTTGAAGCTTAAGAAAAAAATGCTGATAGGGCAACGGAGGATCACAGAGTCACATGAGGAACTTAATTCTTCTGTTCTCCTATACCACAGAATCCCAACTTCCCTGTTACAAAAATTAACGCTTATAGTGTTTGGATATAGTAGCTGCCCTTGCACACATTCCGGTAAAGCTCAAATTCAGGAAGCACGTAATCTGTATTTTAGGCATTTACAGTGTATTATTTATTAGGCTATGCCTTGTATTTAAACTTTTGCTACTGACACCTAGTGTACTTGATGCTCACACTAGAATTCATGTATTATTGACATGGAAACAGCAACACTCTTAAAATACAAGCCAGAGCCTATAGGAGGTAACATACTTCAGTCAATTTGATGGATGAGTTTTTACCTGCAGGATTCCTGGAAGTAAGTCTGCAAAATGTTTTAGAAGAGGAAGATTTTGCTCATTAGCAAGAACAAATGCAGCCGCAGCCCTAGCTGACAGTGTCCTGATCTAGAAGGAATATAAAATAGCAACATCAGTAACATACAGTGTTCCTCAAACTTTTAAATTCATACTTGTACGTCAAAGGTACTCATAACTTTTGCACTCACACCCACTCCCTCCTCACCAGATATTTATTTGTTCATGCCACAGGTATGTGTACAGAGATCCAATACATAGTATCAGTACTAAAACTTTATGCTCAAAAAGCAAGACACTGTCCTCCTAAAGCAGTAAACTAGAAAACATCCTCAGAAGAAAGGATATGCTCATCCTGAGCTTCCTTCTTCTTATATCAGGTTGAGATGATGCAGTTAAGTCCAAATATGTTGGACAAATGCAACTTATTTAGTGGTTATAATACACCAGCTTATTAGGTCAAAGGCCTGTCTGAATAAAAATGTACTTGCCTGTGGTGTAAGGCAAAGGGGCTGAACAGGTCCCTCAGAGACTAAGATTAGCTAGTTAGAAAGGTTCTCTCTTTAGTTCTTGCCAAACAGGCTTCAGATGTTGGCAGGATAAAAAGTAGGGTCTCTCAGAAACATCTCATATAGGAAAATATGGTGATTAAGGTAGTTTGGTCTCTAGCTGTGTAAGGGTTTGTAGGTCACAACCAGTACACTGTATAAGGAATGCTCCTTATAAGTGTCCCAAGTCAGTCTGGCTACAGCATTCTGAACCAGTTTCCTAATGCTCTCCAAAGGCAGCCACATAAAAATAATGTTGCAGTACTATAAGATATAATTAAGATGAAACCTAAGCATGTATCACCTTGGCCAGATCTGATACTTCGCTGAAGTTGGCATACTAGCTGTGCAAAATAATTCTTGGCCATTGCAAAAACATTGAGCATTCAGGTTCAGGGCTGAGTTGGGAAAAATATCCAAGTCACAAATCCAACTTTTAAAGATAAGTGCATCTCTATCAAAAGCAGGCAAAATCTCTCTAATTTGATCAGGAACACTTGTGTTTTGCTGAAATTAAGCTTCCATTTGTTCTCTCTCATCTCACCCATTACCAGTATTGGACACTAATTCAGACTTTGAACACAATGCTTGAATTTAGATGCAAAGGAGAGACACAGCTGGGCATCATCAGCACATTGTGACTCCCCAAAAACTCAGGTGTCCACGTCCAATGGTTTCATGTAGGCATGAGACACAAGATGGGACCCTGAAGGGCTCCACAGGGCAACAAGCAAGACAAGCACAAGAAAATGCCAGAACCACAATCCCAAGGAGAACAAAAACTACTGTAAAACAATGCTTCCAAGTTCCATCCCAACCAGGTAGTCTATCCTTCTGCAATGATATCAACTGTTCAACAAAGGCGGCATGTTTTCATTTCGGGTGTTTGCTTTTTTAGAGTAGAAAACATTCCAAGATTAACCAAGTTTTTCAGACAAAAGAGGAAATGAGTTTTGAATTACCGTGGGATTCTCCTGATCTTGCATACATTGCACCAACATCCGTTTGATGACATCCAAATAATGCTGCTGTTGATTTCCAAAAATACCAGGAAAGTTCCTAAAGGGACAATACAAATGTGCATTTAAGCATCCCTGAGGCCTTAAAAACTTTATGCAGAGCACCGCAAATCAAACTGTCTGCCATAAAGTTCTTCTGAGTTAAGTCAGAGCTCTGATGCCAGATCTAAAGTTCATACTCAGCTCACACAGAGCAACGGTAAGGCCAGTTAAGTCTCACTGTTGCCCCAAGTGAATTGGAACATGCACCAGAATACACTCAATAACTTCCCTGTGGATGATCACCCACCATTATCCAATTGCTTCTAGGAACCTTGCAACCCAGTCAGAAAGTCATGTTTGAAGATGTGGTTCCTAACAGAAATGTTAAACAACCTGACAATCTTGCATGACCATGCACTTGTCTGCAAATAATAGTATACCAGAAGATGTGCAGCGCAGCTTCACGCAGTCCCACATTTTGAGAGCTGACAGAGTCAAACAAAAACTTCAGCCCTTCAGGCCATTGGTTATTGCCATCCTCATCTAAAAGAGATAGAATACGAACATAAAGACAGGAATTTTTGAAACCACAATAGTTAACCAAAAAGTAATAATTTGTTTTATTCTCTTAAAGGGAAAAACTGCCAAAATTGCATAGCGTTTCCTTATAGGCTGTAAACTGTGAGGACATTATATATGGTTGCCAGGAATATTTTCTAAAGCCCCACAGAACTTGGAGGAGAGATGGGAAAGCTCAGGCACAGTGGAAGATTAGAGAAGATGCTAAACAGGCTGTCTCTGTAATTGCACCCACATTCTAGAATAACCCACTTGCCTACTTCCTTCACTTGATTTTTTTTCTAGAAAGTGACAACATTTCTATTTAGGAAAACGTCTATGAAAGGATGATGCTGTCTGGTCAAACATGGTCATGTTTCTAGCCTATGATGATTCTGCTGCTAGTTGTTCACCCTTTAAAATTATTATTAGTGCCTGGTTGATTTACTGTATTTTTCATTTAAGTTTACATTGCCTTTAAATGCTTTAAATGTTTTCAGACACAGCCAGCATCACAGAAATACAAATAAATAATAATATAATATACCTATTAGATTCCTGGCCAGCTCAGCTACGATATCACATATTTTTCTCCTCATACTGGATTGTGTTTCCAGCTGAATAATCAACAGCAATTCACTTTTGATAGCAGTTTGAACTTCAGGGGGTAACGTTGGATAAACTTCCTCAAAAGAAGCTGACAAAAGTCTTCGTAGAAGCACAGCAGCCATTTGTCTAGCCTGTTAAGACAGATATACATTATATGAGGGAGAATTAATTTCAATACAATATATCCCACTTCTGTTCTTTGCTGTTGTTTTCCTACTAAGCATAAACAAAACACCTAGAAGTTCAGCCAAAGTGCTGACTCTGCCACACCTATTTTTGGCATCTTTAGTCACATAGCTATTTTTTACTCAACTATTTCATGTCACAGTTGGTATAAGAACTAAACGAGGTGACTGACTCTATGTTAGAAGAACTTTGAACTTAAGAGGCATTTAGTAAATAGTTTCAGCAAATTAAATCAAATGTTTTCTACCATATATTAACATTTATATGGAAACATCATGTGTAAAAAGGTTAACTTTGTGTTAACACGAACGAATAAAGTGAATTGTGTACAGATTAGGCATATATTAAAGACACTATTGAAACATATTAATTCAAATGTTACTTTGACTACTTAAGTATTCATTCTTTCAAGCAAGTTATAACTGCAAACTGCAAACTCCAAACCAGAAAAAATCCAGAATGAATTACTCAGAAGGGGGTCAATGGGTATACACTAACCACAGTAATATGAATTATTCGTTATTTCAGCTCAGATATTGAGTTAATTAGTACAAGGCATTTGAATCAACACTGGTGGCATGTTCTACTTGAAATACTGTGATGACAAAGGACCACAGCAATTTGCCTTATATAAAGTCAGACCACTTCATCTAGTTAGCAGCTCCCCTCCAGGGTTTCAGGCAGGATATTCACAGCCCAACCTGGACATGTTGGGGATTGAACATGGGAACTTCTACATGCAAAGCTATGAGCTACAGCCCTTCTGTAGGGAATAGGGAGACAGCGAACATGCAATCCTACCAAATGAGCAGCCACATTGTAGTGGACAAGTATGCTAAGGACAACAGAAATGGAATGTGTGAAAGACTGAACCACTTCCATCTGTGTTGTGTGGGAACATCTATGGCAGTGTCAGGCAACACAGGCACTGTACAGATTTCTTGATGTATGTCAGATGCAATGGTTCCACCAGCGTACATGCCAGAATACTCACTGTGATTTATTGCAATATTGATATATTTGGTCTTAATTTTGCATAGTATAGCAACCCACGTGCATCTTAGACACATAGCATTTTCAGCTGCCATGACTTACTGATTGCAAATGCTTCTACTACAACAGTTGTTAAGTCAGTAAGTGAAATTAAAACCTAATGCACAAGCAATAATAGGTTTGGGCAGCAAATATGTTAAGGAGCAATGCAATAAGGAGTAGATTCCAAGACATTATGAGCCCAGAGGTGCATATTAGATAGGCTGCTTTCAGAAAACAGAATTTCAGACGGCACCAGGAGTCAAAGGGAAAGGGAGAATGCCTTAACTCGTGTACAGAAGGGAATTTAGGATCCAAGCCAATGTGTCTATCAAACCATTGAAAAAACCAATGGTTTGCCACTAAAATGGGAACTGAAGCTTCCAATCTATGGTGCAAAGACAGGAAGGAACTGTATGATCATTACTGCAGTAGTATTTGCTACTGAGACAAATTTCCAATAATTCTTCTTTAACTTACTGACATTGCTAGCGATGTATTTTCAGTTGCCTATTACAGCTGATAACATTAAATACAATGCTACTTCATTTTACCACAACATGAAACAATGCTTCAATTATGCTATTATAAATGTTTTGTAGGGAATACTTCTTAGAAAATACCTCTTCAGCAACCGTAGTATTTCTGACAGCTTGTAGAAGGAATGTAATTTTAGATTGGCCTGGTATGTTCTCATATGTTTCCTACGAAAGAAAAGAGAATCATTAAAAACAAAAACCATGAGGCATTAGTTTGACCCTCAGATATGCTCTAATAAGTTCAATTTTTAAATTTACTGGAAAGCATATCACAGAAGCACCTATGTTGAGATTAACTTTCAATTTGAATAAGTTTGATCCACCAGTTCTATTGAACAAAGGTATAATTCTAAACTAAAACCTTGAAAATTAACTTTATCATTTCCTTTAGAAAGCAAGACTAACATATCTATCAACATCTATAAAGAGATTAGTGCTTGCTGTGTTCTTAACTCTGTTCTGCCAAATAGCGCTAGTTACTTTAGCCTATGAAGTACTGCTTATTATTTTATCTAGCTCTTTACTTTTTACTTTGATTTGCCCTGTGAGACAGTCAGTGCTTTCTGTTTTTAACATTGGAATGACTGAGAAATGGGATTTTGTGGAATTGGCTGGAATGAACAATTCCCAATATTCTTTGCTTCAGGTATTTAAGTATACAGTTGACGTTCAATTTGCATTATTGCAGTTTTACAAACTTGATGGCAGGTCAACCGACATAGCATAAATTAAACGCACACAAAGTGGAAAGCTTAAAAGTTCTTTTAAGCTCTCAGGCTTGTTTACCGGCCTCAGATGGGCTCTGGATCTCGCTGGAGCTTCCCAGAGCCCATGCAAGACCCTCCCAGAGCCCAGTAAGGAAGGCGGACAAAGCCCACTTCTCACATTGGCTTCAAAAAGGTAGCGATGGTCATGCGGGGGTGGTTCCAGGACTGTTCTGACTATGCATGGTTTCGACTTTAGGCACCCCCCCCAGAGTGCGACTGCGCAAGTTGTGTGTATTCACACTGCATATTCAAAATGGAAAGAGCTTCAAGTTGACAGACATCCCTCTTGCATAGATTCCAGAAAACAAACACAAAAAAGGTTCAATGTAGCATTGTGGACATTTTCAAAGAAAAATTGAACTCTTCAGCCTAGATCCTGCTAACTCTCCAAAGTATGCACAGTGGAGAAGTAAAAAGAAATCAAGACTAAGGACTGCCTATTTCCGCATGCAAACCTACTCCAAAAACTAGTGATCTCAGTCCTCTCTTCTAATTTAGTGACATCATTCTCATTCATACTCAGCAGTGGCTGGTAAGGTGACTCGCCATGAAAAACTGCCATTGCACTCTGACAGAGGGCTGAGAGTGATTTCCTTTCCTTACACTTTTTGTGCTAGTAGACAGTGACACATCCTTCAATATGCAAATACCTGGTGATGAATGTGGCACCCTACTCCCATCTCCCAGTGCCAAGAAGAGCAGGAGTTCCCTTTTCTGCTCCCATACACTGTCTACCAGCAGCTTCACCTACCTAACACACTGGCTGTTGCTATTCAGACTACTTTCAGGACCCTAACCCATGTGGGCTTCCACTTAAAGAGCTCTCCTCAACTGGTTGGCTTTCCAGCAGGGGTTGGGTTAACTTTTTTCAGCATTTCATCCTGGGTAACCTTCCAGGGACCACACACCACCACTGTCTATATCCAAAGGCAAAAGGTTTTCCTCTCACATGGTCCTTACAACCTGGTCACATTATGAGCAGCACAAGAGAATTTATTTTTGCTCAAATACACCATTTGCCTCTTCTTTCATCTATGTTTCAGAAAACATACATGTATGCCAAGCGGCTTCACAATATTTAAATTGCTTGTGTTGGTATGTACAATGTTGAAAAATAATCAGACTGATCTGTTTTACATTAGGGTACTAAGAACAGATTTTTTTACCCTATTGTTCCCAATGAAAGAATGTGCTGAACTCTACTGACCGCTCCAGTGATGTAAATGATAAAAGCCCCAGCACAGCCATCCAATGAGAAAATGCTAAGCCAGACGCCGGTATTTATTTCAATGGAACAGAGATTCCCCACTAGGCTTTACAATAAAGGATGTAAAGCACTCCTGTGGGTGGAAATAAAGCGCTATCCTGATTTACTAATTACAGAGAAATCCTGTAGTTCAGAGTTTTCTCTAATAATAAGACACATACAACAGAAAAGGGGGGAAAGCTTCATTCAGTACCCTATTGAACACTGAAGCCACTTCACAGATTAGAAAACACAAAGCTTAAGAGACAGGTTCATTATCTCACGGTTCACGCAGCAAGCTCTGCTAAGTTTTCAAGAGATCTACATCCCTCCGGCCACAGTAAATTGGGGGAAGGGAAAGCACGCATGACACTTATTTTAAGAATCCCTCCCTGATTGCCACACAGCAAATTAGCTGAACTGTGGACATAAGACTTATTCTTCTTCAAGGGTGGCCCCATCCCTGCCCAGTGTCTTGGAAAGAGATGGCAATCAGAACAGACCCATCTCCCCCAGGTGCTCCAGCACAGCCCAGAATGGCGCATGCCTATGTAAACAAATGAATGAAAAAACTTAGATCAACACAGGAACATTGCAGCTGAGGTCATTTTTGCTGCCAGCATAAACAGTATTTGCAGCTACTGTGTCTACCAATAAGTTTGCTATATAATGTTGCCCAACTTACCACAAACTACTCAGCTACAGCAAACCACAGTACCCCTCTATCCCTCATCTGACCCTCCCCTGTAAATCTAATGGGAGGGTTGCACCTCCTGAGCTCGTCCCTATAGAAAAGGGAACTGAGACCCCCAACCCCTTTCCACCCAGGGACGACTGTGGGCAAGATTTGTGCACTGCAGGGGATGGAACTAGATGGCCCTTGGGAATCCCTTTCCAACCCTACAATGCTACAGCTCTATTCCATGTGATATTCCATTCTACATTTGTCCCGAGGCGTAGTTCAGCCAGGAAAGCATGAGACTCTTCATCTCAGGGTTGTGGGTTCGAACCCTCCCCCCCTCGGTGTGTGAAAAGACTCCTGCATTGCAGGGGGTCGGAATGGATGATCCTCGTGGTCCCTTCCCAACAGTTCCATCCTATTAATCTAAGGGCTTGGTCGAGGAGGCTATGGTGGCTCCAGCCTCGGGCGCTTATCTCCACGACCAGGGTCAGGTTTGAGGTGGAGAACGAGGAAAAGGAAATAGAAAACAGAATTTGGGGGAGAGAGAGAGAAAAAAAGAGAATACTGAGAAATCGGGGCCAGCACTAGAAACGTAGGATCTCGCATTAAAAAGGAAATAAAAATCAGGGGACGTGGAAGGGGAAAAGGTCAGGGTAGGGGGGGTGGGGAGGATCCTCTGAAAGGCCCACGTTTAGAGAGAGGGAAAACGGGGGCCGGATTTCCCAAGCTGAAAGAGGAGAAAAGAGGTAAGAGCCGGTGCGAGGCGGAGGTGCCGCCCGGGGGGGGGCTTTGTGTGTGGGGGGGGGGAGGGAAAGGGCGGTTGGTGGCCGAAACGCCCCCCGGCCAACGGCTCTAACGGCCGCCGGCCCCGTCTGTGGAGATTCCGGCCGGAGCACGTGGGCCCCGCCAGGGCCGCCCCGCGCGCGCACGCCGAGACACACACACACACGGCGCTGAGAGGCTGACAGGGCAAGGCCGGGTCCGGACAGCGCGGTCGGCCGAGGCTGGAGCCGGCGGGAAAGGGAGAGCGGGGAACGGGGTGGGGGGTGCGAAACAACGCGAAGCCGCCAGTCACCTCGGCCTGTTTCCGGACGACATTGTCCGGGCTGAGCAGGTTGCCTAGGAGAAGGTAGAACTGCTGCTGCTCCTGCTCCGCCGCCGCCGCCATGGCTGCCTGAGAGAGAGAGAGAGGCCAGCCGGGCAGGGAGGAGGGAGGCAGGAGGCGGGGTCTCCAGGCCGCGCACCGACCACAGGGAGGCGGAGCCGCCGCCGCCGCCGCGCTTCTGGTGAACTTCTCCCCGCCCCTGCCGGCAACACAGACGCCCCCTCCCTACCGCCCGCCTCCTGCCGGCGCCTGGCTGCTGCTGCGGCGCTCCCATTGGGTACAGGGCGAAACGCGGCCTTGCTCCCATTGGGCCGCGGCCCAGCCGCCTTTGTGATTGGGCGGGAGAGCGCCATTGTGAAGTCACTTCCCTCTCGCCTCCCTTAGTCCGCCTCCCTCTCTCTCCCCCCTCCCTTGCGGGGGGCGGGAGGAGGGAAGCGGTTTGCTTCATCGAGCTGGGCGCCCATTGGCGGGAGGCCCTGACAGAGGTTCTCTGACTGGGCGGGAAAACAGTCGGGCGGCCAATAAGGAGGGAGTGGGGGGCGGGGGACAGAGTAGGAAAAAGGCGGGAGAGTGTGAGGGGAAAAGGCCGGCGCGTTACTCCTCATCTTCGTTGTGCGAAGCGAGCGCGTCGGCTTTGTGTTGTGACCTTACCGCCCCGAGTAGGAAATACTGTGTCCTATAGGCACAGACTCTCCAATTGCCCCTATTTTCCAGAAACCGACCCGGTTTCTGATTTGTCCCGCTTTTCCTTAGGGCGTCCCTGTTTTCATCGGAGAGATGCTGGAGGTTATGGTAGGACGTCCCTATTTTCCCTATTTTCATCGGAGAACTGTATGCGAGTTATGCGACCTCCCCTAGCCAAGAAGACGAGTAACCGTACAGCCTTTAGAAGACATCTGTAGTTTACTAATATTACGGTTTTATATACGTTGGAAGCCGCGAAGAATGCCTGGGACCACCCAGTCAGATGGGTGGGGTATAAATAGTAAAAATTATTATCAGTCCTATCAACGTCTGTTGAAGTGATTGATTGTGTAGGTATGGCTTACACATTGACATGTGGATGTGTTTTTTGTTTTTAAAAAGTAGTGCTTTAAATATTTCCTAGTATTAATAATAGCATGCCACTACCCAGAACCACTGTAGGGACACGGGTGGCGCTGTGGGTTAAACCACAGAGCCTAGGACTTGCCAATTAGAGGGTCGGCGGTTTGAATCCCCGCAACAGGGTGAGCTCCCGTTGCTCGGTCCCTGCTCCTGCCAACCTAGCAGTTCGGAAGGACGTCAAAGTGCTAGTAGATAAACAGGTACCACTCTGGCGGGAAGGTAAACGGTGTTTCCATGCGCTGCTCTGGTTCGCCAGAAGCGGCTTAGTCATGCTGGCCACATGACCCGGAAGCTGTCTGCCGACAAACGCCGGCTCCCTTGGCCAGTAAAGCGAGATGAGCACCACAACCCCAGAGTCGGACACGACTGGACCTAATGATCAGGGGTTCCTTTACCTTTACCTATTTTTATCAGAGAAATGTTGCAGGGTATGTAAGCAGCCCCTGACTGGGGGTGAGAAAGAGAATTGAAATGTGGGGAGATACTACTGGACACACTCCAACTTGCCCCATTTTTGGGTACCCTGCGCTGGTAAAGCGCCCGTTTTGCCTATTTATAGGCCATCATATACTGTATATATAAATGGCATTAATGTTATGAAGATTAATGGATATGTTTTCCCACCATCTTGATTTGTGGACCCTGTGATTTTGTGGGACTCCTGTCAGTGCCAGCTAGAATAGCCGGTAGTCAGGAATGATGGGGGATGTCTGGAAGGTAGCAAATTCCACATTTCGACTTTTTGACATATCATACATGCTTGCATAGGAGCCAGCTCCTAGGCACCAAGGTCCCCTTGGACCCCCCAATAAAATATGTGAGGGGGCCAGCCCTCCCCCCCGTTGATGGGCATTGCCATTCACATGATGTGTGTGTGCCGTGTCTTGTGATTGATTATGTAGGGCGGGCTTACCTGGGCCCTCCAATATTTTATTCTGGTAGGCACCTCTGTGTGCCTGAGAGTAACTCCCATTGAACATAATGTGACTTCTGAGTAGACATCTGTAGGACTGCACTGTGATTTTTTTGATTTTAGGTTGTTGCATGTCATCTTGTTGTGCTCTCGCTCTAAATGATCACATAGCTGTCAAAACTGTCTTCCTTATTGCCCATAACCATCTTGCCAGATAGTGAATGTGGCTGAATGTGTGTTAAGTAGTCCTCTTGTGAGGTTAAGCATGTTTAAGGTTTTTGCTCCAAGGAAGTCATTGCAGTCAGCTTTGTTAACACATCTCACCCATGAAAGATAGGGCTAATGAATGCTGCATATAATGGATGAAGAAAACCTGCAATTGGGTATTTGTGTGTGTAGGATGAAAATTATACACCACAATAAGAGAACATACTTGGTATGATTGCACAAATATCCGTATTTTTATAATCTGTGGTGAACACAGAAAGATTGGTATCCCACAAAACTTTGTAGAGTCCCAGACCATTATTGAATATAGAGTTCTGAGACTTATGGAAACTATGTGATCCAGTCTTAGTATTTCATGGTCAATTAAATCACAGTACATGATTTCATATGATGACGGTATGGTTGTGTCCTAGCCTAGTGCAAGTAATCTTAGAGTACTTCCATGGCAAAAGTAGTTTTTACTTTCTTTTGAGCCATCAAAACAAATTGTTCCCATGTGTAAGATAGCAAGCCTTTCATTACTGTCCTTTGCTTGTCTACTCCAGCACAAGTGCCATAGAATTAAATGGAACCTACTCCCAGGGATGTATGTGTGTGTGTAGGCTTGCAGCCTTTAGTCAGTTACACTGAATCTAGAGTTGCTGTCTCCATGTAATTCCCTATCCCCTCCCAGCTATTCTAAACTCCGTTCAAATTTTGTTTTCAAAAATCAAGGTTATTCCATGGCTGTCTTATTAAGGGTTAAACACGAGGTGCATCGTCATAATTATTGCATCACCACCTTGTCACAATGGTGACAAGTTTTTCAGTCCTGTTAACCCCTATGATTGGAAATGCAGTAAAGTTTGATCATGTTGCTGTTGCTAGTGAGAGTGACGTATCTGTAAGACTTCCAGTGCTATTATTCTAGAAAAAGAGGTGCCGGAACTTGACATGAACGCCTCCCTTGTTCTCTTATAATGGCAATGCTGCCCAAGTTCTCGCTAAAAAAAGCCTTGTGAGGAGATTTGTAACTAGCCCTAGCGATATTCTGCTCCAGCTCTACCTTTGGCTTCTTTGTATTATTTTTTTAAAAAAGTTTTTTCTACCATGATAGCTGCTACTCAGGTATCAGGTTAAAGGGGGGAAAGTCAAAGATAAAACCTGCACACTTGTTCGAAATGGAATGATACCGGCTTCATAATTTCATGAAAATTGGCAAGAAGAAGTAGTGGAGGAATGTTTTGGCACCTTCAATATTATTTGGGTTAGCAAGCTTGAGAGAACCCCAAGGTTTGCAGAAGTTCAAATATATATTTAGGGGGAAAGTCCTAAGGAGGGACTCCCCCCCCCCCAAAAAAAACCAAATTGAGGACTGAGTGGATATAGAATGCTGATGGAGTGCTGGAAAAAAACAGGGCAGGGGAATAATGCCCACCAGCCATGGAAAAGTGCATGGCTGGTTGGCATTATTCCTGAGCGGCATCACTCCAGACAGCACCAATTAGTTGCAGGTCTCATTTGTTAATTTCAAATATCAAGCTCATGATAAATATTTTATAAAAAATAATTCAGAGAAATCTATGATGAATGCACAAGCACAGATAACATGGTGAGGAGCTGGGTTTTGCTGCAAAACAAAGAAATCCATCAGAATTGCTTTATTCCTCCAAACCCAAGTTTTTAAAAATTACAATATATATCAAAATACAGGCATACAAAGAAAAAAATGAGGGTATTATAAAGCTGTTATAGGAATTCTAAGGTCTTAAATATAGAACAAATGTTGATAATTGCACAAGGTACACACACATACCTAAGTATATAAACCACATGCCGTACAGGGGAGCAATCCAAAAGCAATCCAAAAGGCTCTCCTAAAGATTCTAAATATTTCCTCTGCCTCCTTAATCCCCCTTGCCTGAGACCAGGTAGGCAGATAACAATCAGGGGAAGTTCCTGAAGGGATTCCTTTCCTATATCTATGAACCTCCTTTGTATTAATTGTCATTGCCTGCCCAGATGCTCTGCATTGAGGGATGCCTGATGGGCGTCCTGATTATCTTATCAAATGTTAATGTTTTTTGTAAACTGTCTGGAACTATGTAAAACTTGCTAAATCCTCAGGAGTATCACGCCTTGGCCTGCCTGAGGCACAGTAACCCCACCTTATGTGTGATGTAATTTCTGGCTGTTTGTGTGTGGGGGGGTGTCCTTCTCCAAGCCAAAATGCAAACCCTTAAAAAGAGATGTTTCTTCTTGGTTCAGGGTCACTCTTGCCTCCTTGCAAGGAGGGGAGGGAACTCTGTTGCAACAGGAAAATAAAGATCTGCCTTGCTTTCACTGCATCCTGCCTCCATCCATTCATTTCTGACCGATCATGGACTTAGGTCAGGCATGTCCAAAGTCTGTTTCAGGGGCCTAATCTGGCCAGTCGGTCGATTTAATCCAGCCCCCGTAGCAGTATATGTCCTGGGGTAAAATCCTAAAAAAAAGCTCAACAACTTTGGTCGGCCCTCACTTCATCAAATCTGGCCCTCCAATGGAATCACTATGTTTCTCTTCTTTTAACTATCTGCCGGGGTGGCGCCATCGGTAATGGCGGATTCCCTCTGATTCGGAGGGACCAGCTCCACGGAAAACGGGTCTTTCCCGCTACGGCGAAGCGGGGACCCTTTCAAAAATCACAGGCGGATGAAGCCTGTGACCATGGGACTCGGCAGGCACCTTTAGCGCCCCCCCAACCCGTAAAGGAACCCACTTAAGGGCTCCGGAGCGAAGAGGGGGAAGTGGCGCGGTGCTGAGAGTCAACTGCTTCTTCCGTGGAGCGAAGCCGCACAGCCGTTGCCGGAGAGCGCTGCCTTTTCCTGGGACAATTTGGCTTTTAAAACAATCACCCGTGAGTACTTTAATTTCGGACAATTGGACTATAAATAATGACCTGCGAGTAGAAAGGAAAATTGGACTAAGAAATTCATCTCAATTTGGCACTGAAACGGGAAGGTCTAAACAGAAAGTCAGCCTTCCTTTTCTTGTAGATAGATTAAAGCAAAGACATGGCAAACTAGAGTTCAGAAAATCGCTTGTAAAGGATTAACTTTCATCATTTAAAATTGTTGAACCCCCTTCGGAAGCAGGAGAAGGGGGGGATTTTTTCCGGACTGTTTAAACCTGCAGAAGAGAGTGTAAAGCAAAGTAATTTTCCACCATCTTGATCCTGGGAGCGGGGTGTCAGGACTGACGTTCATTGGGAAGCTCATTGACCAGAGAAAATTTGCCCTTGTCTTATACACGGGTAGTGCAGAGGGCGGTTGGGCAATTGGTAGCAGCCGCGAGCAGGAGATTTTCTGTGGCGACAGGGCGGGTGATTTGTGGCAGTGTGAAGGGCTGCTAGCGAATGGCTGCCTCTGTGTCAATAGTGGGATTGATTGTCAGCGGTGGGTGAGTGATTTTTGGCAATTCCACCCCCCAAAAAGCTCAATAACTGGGCAATCGTCTGCAAAAAAAGCTCAACAACTACTATGTGCTATCTCCCCCCATTTTCTTAAATTGGAGACCCAAAAATAGGGGGCATCTTATACATGGGGGCATCCTATAGACGGAAAACTATGGTAAATAACAACAAAAAACATAGATAGCAATTGCCAGTGGCAACATTCAAACAGCACTCAGCCCAGTAATACTAGAAAATCTAAACCCCTCTGTCTGTCATGCATCCATTATAGGTGCATCCGGGAAACTGATGGCAATTCCCAACATAGATTCCTATAACTTTTTTTCTTAGAACAAGGTGCAAAGGTTCTAATATCGAAAGGGAAATCTTACATCCACGTTTCTAGTCTTCTGGGAAATCAAGTTTCCTTTTAATTCCTGAGACTGCTGCTCTTGTTCCAGGAGAACGGTTCAATTTCTGAGGAGTCTCTGGTTCTGATAGCTGATTTCTTTCCATTGCTGGTGATTGACAGTGACCATCCAAAGGAAGATCTGGTTTGGAATTTTCTTGGGCACCAAGTTGTGTTGTACGAGCTAAAATCATTTTTAAAACAACCTGTTACAATCACATTTTGAACTTCAGGAAATATAATTTTCTGTAGGCTTGCTTCTTTAAGTTTCATCAGACCCCAGTGTCTAGTGGTGTCCTCCATACCAACAGCTCTTTGATCTAGTAGAGCAGGCATGGCCAAACATGGCCCTCCAGATGTTTTGGGACTACATCATCCCATCCCTGACCACTGGTCCTGTGAGCTAGGGATGATGGGAGTTGTAGTCCCAAAACAACTGGAGGGCCAAGTTTGGCCATGCCTGTAGTAGAGTGTTCTCTCAGTGTAACTCCCTGCAACACCCAATGTTCCCCTAACATGAGCTCAAGAGGGTCAGGGGGAGCTGTCTGGGAGAGAGGGGAAACTGGCAAAAATTCTCACCCTCCCCATTGTTCCGAGCAAAGCCATCACTGGATCTAAGAACTGTTGTCGGTTCTAAGGACACCACTGGATACAGCACACTGAGTTTCTATTAAATTTAATATACTGTTGACATTACCTGAAATGCTGTCTGAATCAATCATTTTGTCATTTTCTTCCTCCTGGGGTAAAAAAACAATAACACAAGTTGGGGCAGAGGACTATATAAGAGATCACTGGTTAAGTTGAAGCATTCGTGAAGATATATGGCTAGCATAGGCTAGATCTACACAGCTATAAAAAACACTCTTTAAATGCTCTGCAAAAAACCATTGTAAAGCTTACAATTAAAAATATCACTGAGTTGCAATTTCATCTGGTGTCACTGTGTTATAACACATTTATAATGCTGTATTTTGAGTCCATAATCTCCTCTGTATGTTACCATACACACAACTGAATTTTACAGTATAAAATTGACTTGTTGCTGAACATTAAACAGATTGATACAGTATACACATAAAAGCATAAATAAGCCAAGACTGTAGCACAGGGCTAGCTGACATGAAGCCCTCCAGATGTTTTGAACTACAAATCCCATCATCCTTGACTAGGGATGGGAGAGAGATTCTATTCAGTTTGCATTTAAAGGCCAATCTATCAAATTCTCACTTCCTGAAACATGATAATAGCCAGCAGCTATTTCTGTAATTGTGGTAGCTCTGTTTCCAGCTGTCATTAAATTTGCTGTGGCAAAATCCATGTTGTAGGACCTGGTTCATGTTAACATTTGTCCATGCAATTCTGAACATGCATGCAGTTTAGGGTTGGCCGGTTTTGTTCATGCATATGAGAAACAGATTGTGGGGGAGAAATTAATCTGGTTCACTTTGCTCATCCCAAACTGATACACAAACCTAAATGTAGATTTCCTTCCTTCAACATTCCCACATATTGAAATCTGCAGTGCAATTCTCCAACAAAAAAATGCATACATTGGGGGGGGGAATACACACAAATGAGTATATTAGTAGAAATAAAGTACAAAAATGCATTATATTAGGGGAAATGGCTTGCAAAAAATGCTTATATTAGGCAAAATAGAACAAACACACATGGAAATGTATGGATATTGTGTGGACTTTAATTCTTTAAAAGCAAGCTGATGCACATATGCGGAACTGAGATAAGATTTAGAAACATGAGAAAGTAAAACTAGCAAATTTGAACCCTCCCTTCCCAGCTCTAATCCCAGGAACTTTATTTGGCATTTTAGCAACACTGTATCCAAGGAAACGTGCCACTCTCAAAATGTTTCCTGTACTTTATATGAACTGCTTGCATTTAATTTATAAATAAATGGCACTCTCCAGTTCTTAGAAAACTTTAGGTACTTTATCAGTGTTTAACACTGATAACATAATAATTTACATTCAAAGTGAAATAGATTTTCTGTTTGTGTGTGTTTCATATAAATCTGGTTGAAATTTAAGGCAAACTAATAATAAACTTAGTAAGCTTCCAACTGCGTTTCAAAGCAAATGGTAGATCTGCACTTATAGGAAATATTGTACAGTCGTATCTTGGAAGTCAAACAGAATCTGCTCCGGAAGTCTGTTCAACTTCCAGAATGTTCAGAAACCAAAGCGCGGCTTCTGATTGGCTGCATGAAGCTCCTGCAGCCAATCGGAAGCCACGGAAGCCCCGTCGGACGTTCAGCTTCCAAAAATAGTTGGCAAACTGGAACAGTCACTTCCAGGTTTTGGCATTCAGGAGCCAAAACTTTCAAGAATTAAACTGTTCAAAAACCAAGGTATGACTGGACTGTATTAGGGGACAATGCAGAACCAAAAGGTTCAGAAGGGGTTTTTATCATTCTTAGAATTGACTTGGTGGATTTCCCTTAGAACAAGCATTTGGAAGGCCCTCTGTCCTTCTACAACCCAACAAAATTTGTGTATCATTTTATCATCTATGATCTGGGTCAAAGTTTTGTAATGTCTCCACCTCCCTTTTACCTGTTTCAAAAGTGTGTCCAGATAAATTGCATTCTTCTTGCTTTGTTCATCCAGATCTGACCATGGCGTAAAGTTTTCTGATGGGTGTACAAATAGAGCAAAGCATTCTTCATAATCAGATTTGTTCATCATTTTAATCGAAACCCCAGAGCTCTTCAGAAGGTGTAGACCTTTTTGTTCTCCTTCTCTGTCAAAATAATATGGCCTCGAAGCTTTTATTTCCATGCATATTCCACTGTTTTTTTCCATAAAAGATTTTATCCTGACACTGCATGCATGGCAAGGAGTGTATGACACAAAAAGGTTCAGTTCATAATTTTCTTTGGTTATGTTTTCTGCGATTTGGTCTTCAATATAATCTAAAACTAAAACTTCAGCATGCTTGCCACCAGGTTCATTGTATACATGGCCCCATATTTCCCAAATCAGCTTTTCTTCCTTTTTGAAACTAAACAATAGTAATGTTGTTTTGCGTATTTTTGTGTTGTCAAAATCTTCTTGGAAGTCTTCTTTCGGACATAGTTTTTTGAGGAAGAAGGGCATTTCCTCTGACAGTTCTAAGCCAGAAACTTTCAAAAGGCTGTAAAGATAAAAAGGGCATTTAAAATACAAATGGATCACTGCTTTTGTCCATCAGAACTACAAGCACCACCCTCAACACATGGCTGGGTAGGGGGGGATTAGTTCTTCATTGGTAAAGGTAAAGGTAAAGGGACCCCTGACCATTAGGTCCAGTCATGACTGACTCTGGGGTTGCGGCGCTCATCTCGCTTTACTGGCCGAGGGAGCCGGCGTACAGCTTCCGAGTCATGTGGCCAGCATGACTAAGCCGCTTCTGGCGAACCAGAACAGCGCACGAAAACACTGTTTACCTTCCCGCCGGAGTGGTACCTATTGATTTACTTGCACTTTGACATGCTTTCGAACTGCTAGATTGGCAGGAGCTGGGACCAAACAACAGGAGCTCACCCTGTCACGGGGATTCAAACCGCCGACCTTCTGATCGGCAAGTCCTATGCTCTGTGGTTTAACCCAGAGCGCCACCCGCGTCCCTTACTGACCTTCAAAATGTATGGGTAGTTGAGAGGCCAACTGACAGTACCCCCATTTACAGGGGCCAGCGTAGAGCCCCCAAAAGTCAGGGAAGGGGCAGGGCTGAGCCAGTCTCACAGCTGTGGCCTGACTGCATTAGACTCCAATTCAGGTCCACTTGGCCCACCCAACTGCCTTCCACCATAACTGCAATGAGTGGCAGAGCTGTCGATGCGACTGTGTTTCTGTTGCTCCACAAATCCCCCCTGGTAGGTGGCAGGAGTTGGGACTGCACTCAAAGTGTCCATTCTAACCTGAGAGTCCCATTGAACTAAGAGTGACTTACTACTGAGTAAACATGATTACGGCTGCATTGTAAGAGGTACTTTCTAATAAAGTGCTGGACAGGTGCCTGCACTGTATCGTTTTGGATGCCAGCTAAAAATGTTTTGTTAGGCAAGCCTGCTCGGACATGTAATTTTGTTTTGTGGATTTGTCTTAAAGATCAATTTTATTTATATCTTGATAACCTTTATGTCTGGGACGTGGGTGGGTGGTGCTGTGGGTTAAACCACAGAGCCTAGGGCTTGCTAATCAGAAGGTCGCGGTTCGAATCCCCGTGACGGGGTGAGCTCCCGTTGCTCGGTCCCTGCTGCTGCCAACCTAGCAGTTCGAAAGCATGTCAAAGTGCAAGTAGATAAATAGGTACCGCTTCGGTGGGAAGGTAAACGGCGTTTCTGTGCACTGCTCTGCTTCACCAGAAGTGGCTTAGTCATGCTGGCCGCATGACCCGGAAGCTGTACGCCAATAAAGCCCTCGGCCAATAAAGTGAGATGAGCACCGCAACCCCAGAGTTGTCCGCAGCTGGACCTAATGGTCAGGGGTCCCTTTTACCTTTCCCTAACCTTTATGTCTACAGTGGTACCTTGGTTCTCAAACTTAGTCCGTTCCAGAACTCCATTCCAAAACCAAAGCGTTCCAAAACCAAGGCGCGCTTTCCAATAGAAAGAAATGCAAAACAGATTAATCCATTCCAGACTTTTAAAAACAACCCCTTAAATAGCAATTTAACATGAATTTTACTAACGAGACCATTGATCCATAAAATGATAGCAATAAATAATGTGCTGCATTCACACAAACAATCAGTAGCTGAACTGGGTTCCACACAGTCACAAAAACAAAACAAAAAGAGCTGCAAAAACAAAAACGCAAAATAAATAGCAAAAACAGGCAGACCTCAGCGTAAAACTCAAATCGAAAGCATAACACTCAAAACGGAGCATGTTCGGATTCTAAAAAAGGTTCACAAACCGGAACACTTACTTCCAGGTTTGCAGTGTATGGGTTCCAAGTCATTTGAGTACCAAGGCGTTTGAGAACCAAGGTACCACTGTACTTGTTTTTAACGTTTGATTTGATGGGCATTTTAAAATGAAAATTCTATATTGTTTTCTGTAAACAGCTTGGAGGTTTTGTTGATTAAGCTGCATATGCATCTTGTTAAATAATAAATAAATTAAAATGTATATGTAAAATTGATCTCAACTAACCACATCCTTTCCTAGCTGGTTTTGGTTATCCAGCTGTCCCGGCTATTGCTTCTACCCTCTCTGTTGGTTATCTTTCCAAACAGAAGAAGACTTTTGGGGAAGTGAGAGCAGCACAGAGGCAGCCCCACCCTAAAAAGTATCTCTTTGTGACTCAAATGGTACTGTTCGAACCACAATTCTTAATGTTTAATTAAGCCAAAATGAATTTATAGAGAACCAGAAGAAACGCTGCCACGCGACATGCTAGATGTGTTAACTTCAATATATTTATATAAATTGTGTCTTGCTCATTAGAAAGTGGGAGTTGGGGGGATATAAATGGCAGCAATGTGAATGGCTTGGCTGGCAGAGAGGACAACCTCTTTTATGGCCATCTGTGGGGCTAGTTTAGTCTGTGCAGACCATGCTGCTGTTGTTTTGTTGTTGTTGTTGTTGTTGTTGTTAATTGAGCGCTCACTCCCACCAGAGCCACACAATCACTTCCAAAATGCTTCCATGCTATTTGTGCTATTTTGGAACCTGCTTGTTTTGCCTAAGGCTGGAGACAAATGTGGATTTTACCTTTTTTTTAAATGAGGGATGGACCATTGTGTACAGTGGTACCTCACAAGACGAATGCCTCGCAAGACAAAAAACTCGCAAGACGCAAGGGTTTTTTGTTTTGTGAGCTGCTTCGCAAGACGATTTTCCCCATGGGCTTGCTTCGCAAGACGGAAACGTCTTGCAAGTTTGTTTCCTTTTTCTTAACACCGTTAATACAGTTGCGACTTGACTTCGAGGAGCAACTCATAGAACGCGGTGTGGTAGCCTTTTTTGAGGTTTTTAAAGACTTTGGTGATTTTTGAAGCTTTTCCAAAACTTTCCCGACACCATGCTTCGCAAGACGAAAAAAATCGCAAGACGACAAAACTTGCGGAACAAATTAATTTCGTCTTGTGAGGCACCACTGTATTTCTATCTGACGTTTAGAAGACATCTGAAGGCAGCCCTGTATAGGGAAGTTTTTAATGACCTATCCTTTGTTGGAAGCCGCCCAGAGTGGGCAAGGTATAAATGAACTACTACTACTACTACTACTACTACTACTACTATTATTAATTTCTTCAGTCCATCAGTCTTATGTGCAATCTGAAACCTGCACGCACCCCCTACTGAAATCTGTTTTGAATGATGGCTGCCTCTCCTCTCTCCCACGTTCCATTTTTTGACTCAAGTTTATTACTGTCTAGCCTGATTAAGAGTTCTGGAGAACTCTAAAGCCTGTCATCTATTCTGTGACATTTTTGTTGATGTCATTGCCCTCATATGGATTTTAGAATACATCAGCTGTGTTTCCAGAACAACAATGCACAAATACGTTATAAATAGCTTGGTCGGGAGTGAGGACAGCAGATACAATAAAAGTTCTGTCGGCTCTTCTGAAAAGAAAACAAGCGAACAAGTTGAGAAGACAGTCAAATCACATTCCAGACTTGAATCCCCAGCCATACTATTTACACATTACATATTCCACCACATGTAAACTTACGAAAATATGTGCACTTACGTTATTATTTAAGCCAGGTTTTGATGACATTTTTAGAAGCAGCTCTTGAGAAATAGCCATGTTTTTCAGTTTCGGTTTTCCAGGAGATAAAGAAGTAGAACTTTATCCACAATGCCACCTGGTGGCATTTTTAAAAATTGTTAAAGTTTTTTTTCACTGGCTTGGTAGCTTATTTGCTATAAGGGCAGACTTAGCTAAGCCTTGGGCTTCATGTGCCCTGGTAATGTTAAGCAACTAACTCTTTCCCCTTCTAGAGATTTCAAGTCAAGATCTTGCTGCTTCTCTCATGAAGGCTGTTGGTCTCTCCCTATCTGGATACCTTCTCACAGAGGGAGGATCTTAAGCAGCTGCCAGGGACATGTCATGAATATACATGTATTCTCACAATATATAGTGTTTGGGAAGAGAGAATAAATGGAGAGAGGAGAGAATGATCACGGTAGAGTAATTGCTTGCTATTAATGTGTATTCAGTTCAGTGTGTGCACCGTGGATACCACTTATAAAAACCACCTCCAACTCCTCAAAATATTCTGTCAATGATATTTCTGGAAATTTTTACACATCACTTGGGAAGACATGCAAACTAATGCCAGTGTACTGGAAGAAGCAAAGATCACCAGTGTCAAAGCAATGATTCTTCAACATCAACTTTGTTGGACTGGTCATGTTGTGCGGATGCCTGATTAGCATCTTCCAAAGCAACTGCTTTATTCTGAACTTCAAAATGGAAAGCATCATGCTGGTGGTCAACAAAAGAGGTTTAAAGACTCTCTCAAGACAAATCTAAAAGTAGTATAAACACCAACAACTGGGAAACACTGGCCTGCAAGCGCTCCAGTTGGAGAACAGCCTTTACCAAAGGTGTCATTGGCTTTGAAGATGCTCGAACTCAGGACGAAAGGGAGAAACGAGCTAAGAGGAAGGCACATTTGGCAAACCCTCACCGTGATCAACTCTCGCCCGGAAACCTATGTCCCCACCGTGGAAGGACGTGTGGATCCAGAATTGGCCTCCACAGTCACTTACGGACTCACTGTTAAAACCGTGTTCATGGAAGACAATCTTACTCAGCTACGAGTGATTGCCAAAGAAGAAGACAGCTGTGAACATTTATGACACTTTCCCTTTCACCTTCCCACCCCCACAGTCATGGATTGATTCAGGACTCACTGATGATAAGCAAATGGGTTATTCAGATTAATTTTTCAATTCTCCAAATAGGTTTTCATGGCAATATCAACAGTGAGCGATCCTGGCAGAACTATACCGACAACCCTAGAATCCAACTGAAAAAAGGTTGGAAGGGCAGGGGAAATCATCATTTGCAACTCCAGAAATTAAACGATAATGTAAAATTACCTCAATCTGAGTTGGAGAGACTGCAGATACAATCTTGTGTCTTCTCAGGTGGAGCGAGCTGGAGACTTGTGGAGAGGAATACCTGGTTACGATGACGCTGTACAGTGTGTGCTCAATGTCAGAACAAGATGGAACTGGTTTTGACATAGATGGAACTAGCACTGTCTCACCTATGTCTCAAGGATTTTTCAGTGCTTTATAAGGCTCACATCTATATGTAATGCCCAATCATGAGAAAGCAAAAACTTCCTCGTACTTTCTCACTGACATAATTAATGAATCATCTAAGCCAATGCCCTCTGTTTATTCTGGGCAAGACGTAGGTAGGATTACCATTTGTATATGTATCATCTTTGTTTCATACTATAATTGAGGAGCCACACCTTGTTCACTTTTGATACTTATTTATTGTATGAAACAAAGAGCTAGAACTGGATCCACTAGTTCTATTTTATGGTTAAAGGTAAAGGTAAAGGGACCCCTGACCATTAGGTCCAGTTGTGACCGACTCTGGGGTTGCAGCGCTCATCTCGCTTTACTGGCCAAGGGAGCTGGCATACAGCTTCTGGGTCATGTGTCCAGCATGACTAAGCCACTTTTGGCGAAACAGAGCAGTGCACGGAAACGCCGTTTACCTTCCCGCCGGAGCGGTACCTATTTATCTACTTGCACTTTGAGGTATTGCTAGGTTGGCAGGAGCTGGGACCAAGCAACAGGAGCTCACCCCGTCGTGGGGATTCGAACCGCCGACCTTCTGATCAGCAAGTCCTAGGCTCTGTGGTTTAACCCACAGCGCCACCGTGTCCCTATTTTATTTTATGGTTACTGTAGAGCAATTTGTACAGTGTTAATGCCTGCAAAGGTCTGTTGCTATCTAATCACAGTGTGTGAGTGTGTGTGTGTGTGTGTGTGTGTAGGGGGAACGACAAGATTACGATAGCCTGCTTTAATGTAGTTAGCTTCAAATAGTTTACATATGAAGAAAATTGCATTTGTAAAATTCTTTTTTAAAAGCCAGGAGAGAGTATTTTAAAAATATTATTTAAAATATTTATATATGGCTTTTCTTTCCATAAAGGATTTACCACAAGGCAGCTAAGCACAGTATAAACTTCATACTAAACATTTTATACAATAATATAAATTTAATAAGAATCAGCCATAATCAAACAACAACAACAACAACAACAGCAACATGGTTTCTTTCAAGGGAATTTTTTTCTTCTTAAAGGATTATGTATTTCTAATCTTATGTGGATTTCACTTATGTGGTCGCAGCTTTGTGCAGTTTGCCATAAAATAAATAAATGTCGAGGGTGGGAGAACAAGAAAAAGCATCCTGCAGGGGGCCACCACGTGGCGCATTGGAAGATGGCCGACAATAACATCTCTCCGACCCACACGAGGTAATTAAGAGGCTGCTATGGGAAGTATGCAGCCTTCCCGCCCCCCCCCCAAGGAGATGGGGGGGACTGCCTTGCCAGCGGTGTCCATAATGCACCCCCGGATTCGAAAGAAGGGGGTGCCCGGTCACTTGGCACAAGCCCTTGGTGAAGTTGGCTCTTCCTGACGCTGTCTCCAACCAGCGCCCGGGTTCGCTTTAGCTCGAAAATATAATTGGAAACATATAATTGGAAAGAAGCTAAAGCACATACATCAAGCGAAGTTCGGGGAGATAAGACTGCTGATTAATGGATCTCTGTGACCGGAGCGACGGACGGGACAAATAAATCAAGTGATGAACCACCATTAAGAGATTGGTATGTTTGGAGTGAAACGGAAGGGGGGTGGAGGAAAAAACTTTTCTTTTCTTTGCCTTATGTGAGTATTAATAACCCTCCACCCCAGAAAGAAGATCGTTGCATTTTATTAATCACAAGTAGGAATTCAAGAACTGTGCGGAGTGAATTATATCAAAGAGATGATTGGTAAACAATGGAGAACGGAGGAAAGTTTTATGACGCAGTTTTAAATGGTGTCTCGCTAAGACAGGCTTGTCTAAGAAAGACGGGGGGAGGAGGACCAGGATCATTGGAATGTGAATGATGATTGGAATGTGATCTAAACCTGGCAGAGCCCTCCTGATATACTTGACAAGCCTGGAAAAATCAAAGGACAGACTGAAGATAAATTCTTTACGGAAGTGTGGAATGGCGTCTGTCCCTAAGTGATATGATCTTTGGAGAGTGTAAAACCCACACAGAGAAAAACAACTAACAGCTGTGAGAGTGACCTTGGCTAGGCATGAGTGGTGCACCAGAAGAGACAACAACCAGGTCTGGGAGACAATACAAAGTAAAATCTTCACAGCGAAGAGTTTCAGTCCCAGGCATCCCAGTGGCACCAGCTGCAACTGGTCAGACAAGAACAATAATGTCATCAGATCCTGTAACACAAGCTTTGGTTAAAATAAATGAATCTCTGGAATCTTTGACAAAGCAGGGGGTGGAAAATAGCAGAAAATTGACAGAACTCTCAATTAAACTTGATCAGAATACACAAAGTGTGAATGAATTAGGGAAAAGGGTGACATCTAATACAGAATCTATTAATAAAATATTAGAGGACTCCGCCAATATACGTAAAATCGCAGAAGAAGCCAAAGCCTCTGCTGATGAAGCTAAAGTCTCGGCGGATGCTACACAGGAAAAAATTGCACCAGTTTGCAAAAAGTTAGAAGATCACACATTGGCCCTGTCTATGCTTGAATTGCAGAGAAGAGACAGAAATTTAAGACTACGAGCGGTGCCTGAAAGCGAAGGAGATAACTTGGAGAACTTCCTTTCTAAAGAATTTGCGGATTTTTGGCAACAGGAGTTAGAGAAAGAAGAAATTAAAATAGTCACTGCCTTTAGACTGGGAAGAGCACAAGGTAGGAAGAAGCCAAGGGATTGCCTAATAACATTAGGATCAAGAGAGGAGAGAGATAAAATATTGAGCCTGCATTTTCAAAGAACACTCGAGATTGAAGATTCTTTTGTGGAGATTTTTAAAGATATTCCAAAGGAAATTCTAGACGCAAGAACAAACTATAAAGAACTGGTCGGATTGCTGAAGAAGAACGAAGTACCTTTCAGGTGGGAATTCCCGCAAGGCCTATCTTTTAAATTCAAAGGTAGGAAAATAAGGATAAGATCAGTAGAAGACCGAGATCAATTTCTAAATCACTATAGGGAAGACCTTCTGAAAGGAACAGTCGGAGAGGAAATAACACCAGAATCGAAAGACGCAACAGACATTTTAAACTTGACGTTTGGACTGAAATCACCAACAGAAGAAGAACAACTACTCGGAGCAACAGGAGGCAAATAGCTTCAGGATGGCCTTGCAACTTCTAAGTTGGAATTGTAACGGACTTAACCTTCCGCGAAAGAGGAAAAATATATTTCATTTATTGAAAAAGAGCAGTTGGACTTAATTTGTTTACAGGAAACTCATATAACAAGATTGCATAGGAAACTACTCGTCAATAAGAGATTAGGCCAAGAATTTATTTCATCGGACAAAGTTAAGAAAAGAGGAGTGGTAATCTATGCAAAAGAAAAACTTTCCCCAAAGTTTATATTTAAAGATGAACAAGGAAGGTATTTGGCAATTGAAGTGCAAATTCAAGGTGAAAAATTTTTGATACTAGGGATTTATGCACCTAATGAAGGGAAGTCAGAATTTTTCAAGAAGTTGCATGAGACATTGTTGGACTATTTGGATTACAAA